GTAGTGACACGGACTGATCGGATGTGCGGGGATAAGGAAGAGTTTGAGAGACGATCTTAACGGCCTCGCCTCGAGGATTGGCAAGACCAAGTGAGGATGCTGCGAAATGTTAGTGATGATTCCAAGTCCGGCTAACTGCAGACCTACCCGTCAAGTTGATGCCATGATCCAGCCATGAGCCAACGTCCGGCTGACAGTCCATGTCATCGTGAGGCCCGGGGCTACCCCCAGAGCTGGAGGAGCCATGGGAGGCCCCATCTGATGGGCTACTCAGTGTGTCTGAAGCACCATTGGTGGAGGAGTTATCTACACCCGGCCCATCGTCCATCATCTTCATGGAGGCCGGGTGTTGGTGCGGGTGCGCATTGTACAACAACATGTCGGACTTGGGGTTCCACGCAACGTGGATATCGTCTTCTGGCGGGGTGGGAGGCAATGTGGAGGGGTATTCCGACTGGTACGCGGGAGGAGAGTTCCAGGCCGGAGAGTGGGCAGTCAACGGTCTCGGCCCGCGAGACACAGTGGTAGACAGACGGAGGCGCGAATCAGCCGACCGGGGGCGGGATTCCCGAGAGCCAGAGGCACCACGGTGTTCCCAGGAGGGGAAGTTGACGGCCACGCTGCTCTTGGAGAGGAAACGCGACACTGGGGAAGGTCTCGTTCGCAGGGATCCTTGGGAGGCACGTCGGCGGACCTTGGAGGGGCTCGCGGTGCTGACTGTTTCTTGCGTATCGGAAGTGTTGGATTGGAGATGTGCTCGTGTGTCGACTTTCACAGTTGGCGGGACAGACATGGCCAGATGATCGGTTAGGGCGACAGGCCAGTGTCCATTGCAGGGTTCAGAATTCATCCAGTCTTCGATGGGGAGGGAGATGGCGGTCGGCATGGAACAGAGGCCGGGGTAGGAGAGGTGGTAGGTGAGGTGAAGGTGAAGGTGAAGGTGAAGAAGAGGAAGAAATGGAGAGAAGAGGGAGAAGAAGGGATGACAAGGAAAGAACAAGGCCTGGAAATTGACGGGCCCAGAGTATCGGGTACTTGGGATTATATGGGCGATCGGGTATAAAGGCAAGTACCAGTGACTAGATGGGCCAAGGGTTGGGCTAGACTCGGTGGTCTAGAACATTCAGTCATGGAGTCATCGGTTTTCGGCAGGCACTCAGTCACACATTATAGGGTGTATAGGGGACATAGTAGAGAGTATGGTTAGGGTAGTTTTATTAGATTAACTGTCAGAATCAGTCGCCTTCTTTCCTCCTACAATTACTGGTTCAGGATGTTATGAGGCCCGAGAGTGCTAAAAATGTGTAGTCTAGAGCGACCGATGGCTTCGTTAGCTCCACGGGGCGGCGATCATTCTCGGTTCTGCATCGAGTTGAGTGTCAGAGTCTCCCACATAAATGAACTCATTACCTGAACCAGACTGCCACATATTACCTTCTCATCTGACTTCTCTCTCCCCCCATACACATGTATCTGTACTATAGATCGAGTGGGGAGTATATTGTTCATGAGGTACTTGGTACAATTCCCATTTCCGCCACTGAGAGGGGTTGGGCATACTCTGTGATCTGTAGTCGTACAGTCTGATTGCTGCCCATAAATCTTGTTTCTCTCCACTCTCTTCTATTCTAGGCTTCGAAGTTCGCATGAAGTTCGCATCGTCCCCATCCACCCCTCATATTGTACGGAGTAGACCCTCGAAAATCTGACACAGTAGACTGTACATTTTTGACTATAGTTAATTATACTGGACTATAAGTTAATACTGGGCAGACTGGACTCAATTTTAGACGTTAATTTCCACCGTGCGCCCAGATCTGGTTCTGATCCCAGTTTCCATCTCCGGAAGACTCCACCGGTCTCAGATTGAGTGACTTGCCACCTTAGCGAGTTGAAACACTTCCCGTTAATTGTGCATGTACTGTACACTGTGTACACGCGTACGGATATAGTTGCTACATGGAAACGAATCCCTTTCGAATCAATGTGAACCGTAGATTGTATTAAGATTAAATATATACGTGTATATGATAATTCTTGAATCGGCCCCGTAGGAAATCCGGATTCCTCGGCCGAATCGGCGAGTTAGAGCCTTCGAGAAGACTGAAGAAAACTGGAGAAGACCTGTCCATGGATCTGGATCTGAAACCCGTTGCATCATGGTACAGTAACGGCTATTCTCCAGATCCGAGACCCTTGCATGGTGAGATTTAATCTCGGTCGCGTGGATGACTCTGTCTCGGGACACTGTTCCCGATGATTTCCGTAGTCTGAGGCGAGGACTTGATTTAGAGCCTGGGCCGTCGATTGGCATCGAGACAGGCCTGTTCAAAACAGGCTCGATCGGGAAGTTTGTGGATAGTCCACCGCTGCCTGCTCGAAACAGGCTCGGTCGGGGAGTGCGTATAGTCCACCAGCGGTGGCTACAAAGAGATAAAAATGCATATGACGGCAAATATACCACCATGGCCCACAGTACCCCCTCAAGAAGTCAGCGACCGGCGCCGAGACTGAGTAGCAGTAGTACAGCCGGCCAACGGCTGCTGCAAATCCTGCGAGCAACCCCAAACTAGCGAAGAACGATACTTCTGCTCCTCACGCGTGAGACGGACCTGCTTCCGCGCAAAGCTTGAAGGCTTCAGAGCAATATTGCAAGAAGCAGAGCGACCATAAACCGGCATTGAGGCTTTCGTCATGGAGGGCATAGGCCGAGACGGGTTATCGAGGGTAGCACTGAGCTCGTAGCACTGACGAACAAGCTCCTGCACACCATCCGTCAAACGCGAAGCGCGCTCTTCAATATCCGGCCAGAAAGCATCGCCCCAGAAGGGATCTTCGCAGACGGCTGCTTCCAGCGCTGTCAGCCAGCACTGGAAACCGGAGCGCGCACCGGCGAGCTGGGAGGCGACGGTCACGAAACGGATTGTGGGCTCGGAGTGGAGAACGTGCAGGACGATGCAAGCTGGGCAGCGGGCTGTGAGGTACCAGTCGTGTTCCTCGGTGAGAATGCAGTTCAGCCAGGCGAAGGCGCTGCGGGCTTCGCCGCGGAAAGCGCGTTCTGGTTCGGCGGCCCTTTTGCTGGGGAGGGTGCGGGCGGCGACGCGCTCGGCTTGGTGGTTGATTAGGAAGAGGGGGACGAGCAGGGTGTGGATGATATCGCGGTGGAGCCGGAAGGTTTCTTGTTCTGTGGTTGTGCAAGAGTGGCGATGGGCGGTGCAGAAGCTTGGTCGTTCCATGCCGCATTCTTGTCTGCGGAGTTGTTCGCGCATTGCGCCGAAGGCTTCGTTGCGCTCTAGCTCGATTTGAGCGTGAGAGGGGATTTGGAAAGGGGACGACATGGTGTATACTGATCAGTGATCAATGATCGAGGTTATACATGTACATGTAGGCAAGTGGTAGAGTACATGGAGACTATAAAAATAAAGGGTCCAGGGGCCGGATGCGGGCAACAGAGAATAATATAGGTCCCCCTTTGCGGAAACGTCATGGCCACACACAGCAGCGCAGATCAGGCCTTGCCTCCCGTTTTGGGGGCACAGTCCAGGGTAGTCACTTAGTCGATCGCAATTGGGGTCCACTGGCTGACGAACACTTTGCCAATGGCGTTGATTATTGGCGGACTTGGCCCGGAATGGGGGGAGGGTGGAGATTGGAGAGAGTCTGGACTGTTGCATATCAACTGTTCCATGTTACGGTTACAGAGTACAGACACATAAGCTCATATTTTTGATAATGTAGTTCTCTATCTTAGTATACTCGTATACTTGTATACAGCTTCTTAGCTCTCGTCTCTCAGTCCCAGCTTCTACCCGTATAAAGTAGACTCTATGTATACAGTACCCCTATCGCAGGGACCCCGTTCTAGCCCCAGAGCGACCGCCGAAGACCGCCCAGTGGGGTAACGTGGCTCGTGGGAGATTTAAAAACGAGCGATGGCGTTATTCTAGCGTTGATTTTATTGAAAGATAGGGGTCTCAGACTCCTATTCCGAGCCCGACCGGGGGTCTGCTGCCCAATACAAAGACTAGGATATCAACCAGTTTACCAGTTAAAAAGTCGAATCAAGATACATGTAGCACAAATCAGAAACTTCCGATGATCGTAAGCCGTGTGCCAGGTTTGATGGACTATCTTTCCCGCGTTAGAGCCAAGTGTGGGTATGAGGGGGTCCCTCGTCTAGGGCAAGAAGAGTAGTGATTGACAGGGTTTAGAATGTAGTCTGGTGATTTTTACAGGTAGTGATTGCTTAGATAGTGTGAGACTGACTTGCATGGTCCAAAGTGTGGCTATTTACGTTATCTGTTCAACATTGCATTTATAGCTTTGTCTCAAGCCTCAATCTATCTTATTTATAGTCGGTGCTGTGGAACTCGGTTGGTTCCGGGCACAGGGGCGGAACGTATGGAATGATCAACTTTGTTCACGTGTGAGTACGCGAGAAATATACAATAAAATACATACAAAGTCTGCTACAAGTTACATGTACGAAGTTATCTGAAATACTGCAAGTTCACTTAACCTAACGAACACAGAGCTATCGGTGATACAAGCCATGCTGTGCCAACACATAATGGGGTTAGGGCTTGGGCCCAGCTAACGGCCCCCCACGTACTACTTGGGGATTTTGTCAACAAATCAATCCATTCCATTGAATTTTATGTTTTACTTTGAGTATTGCTAATTGCTAATTGCTAATGGAATGGATACTTTTCACATCTGATATCCATATACTTATCCCTGGCATGTTACTCTGGTATGAATGGGAAGAATGAAGCACGCTAGGCTAACCCTGCAGGTAATTTGGCCCAAATCAAGGAATTGCAGTGGCTTTCATTTCCGTAGTTCACCCCGAAGTTTCTGTTTTTTGTTCCTGTCCTGATTGTTCCTGCCGTTTTCTCTTTCAGGTCAATTGAAATAATTTGAAGAGGGGATTCTTCTTCTTTTAATTACTTTGATCCAATTCTACAGAGTACTCCACACCATTTACTTACAAATTAATCATGTTGTCTTCCTTGGCACTTTCGGTGCCATTCCTGTTGGCTGGTCTGCAGGCCGCCACAGTCAACGCCGTCCCGACCATCTCGGCTGTTGGGTCCAAGTTCTTCTATGAGAACGGCACTCAGTTCTACATCAAAGGTAACACACCTCCACAGGACTAGAGAACATCACTGACTCGGACAGGCATTGCTTATCAGCTGACCCCCTCGGACCCGCTTGTTGACACAGCCCAATGCAAGCGCGACATCGCCCGCATGTCCGAGCTGGGCACCAATTCTATCCGTGTGTACCATGTCGATCCCAGTGCCAACCACAAGGGTTGCATGACAGCTCTGGCCGATGCCGGTATCTACCTCTGGGTGGATCTGGACACTTTCTCCACACAGATCGAACAGACTGCCCCCCACTGGAATGAGACCCAGTTTGATCGCTTCAAGGCGGTGCTCGATGAGTTCCAGAAGTATGAGAACACCGCCGGTGTCCTTGTTGGAAACGAAGTCCTCACCACGGCGGAGGGTTCCGCCGCTGCTCCTTACGTCCTGGCCGCTGCCCGCGATATCAAGGCGTACCGTGACAAGAAGGGATATCGCGAAATCCCCGTGGGTTACTCCGCTGCCGACATCGCCGATCTGAGACCTATGCTCCAGAACTACCTCGGCTGCTCCACGAATGCTTCTGAGCGGTTGGACTTTTATTCACTCAACGCCTATGAGTGGTGTGGTGACTCCAGCTACCAGCAATCCGGCTACAACATGCTGCAGAAGAACGCGACTGACTACCCCATTCCCATCTTCTTTTCCGAGACCGGGTGCAACACCCCCAAGCCTCGTACCTTTGATGACCAGGCCGCGATCTTTGGGGACCAGATGGCTGATACTTGGTCCGGATCTATTATCTACGAGTGGCTTGAAGAGTCCAACAACTACGGTTTGATCAGCTATGGCCCCAGTGTCAAGCCTGCTACCGCCACTGCCAGCTCGATCGAGGATGGGTTCACTCGCCAGGGTACCCCAACCCCTGTGTCGCCTGACTTTGCCAATCTCAAGTCTCAATGGGCCACTTTGAACCCGACTGGTGTTGCCCTCTCCGATTACAAGAAGTCGGCCACAGGCCTGTCGATTGAGTGCCCTGCCTCGACCTCTGGTGGATGGAATGTGGATCCTAGCTCTCCGCTTCCCACTCTGGGCCAGACCTACAAGAAGGGCTCCGATTCCAGCGCCACAACCAGCGGCGCCAGCGGCACTGGTTCGTCTGCTACCGCCTCGTCGACCAAGAAGGGTGCTGCTTTCACAGTGACCGCCAGCTCCCCCATCACCGAGCGTCTTCTCGCCGGTTCTATTGTGCTCTCCGGCATGCTTGGTGCCCTTGCCCTTTGGCTGTGATTCCACATGGCGAGTTGTATTGATATGCATACATGAATTTTCCGATAGACCAGTTCAGTGAACTACTGCATTAACGTTATATGGAAGCAGTTGGCGTCTTTGGTGTCTACATACAGGTTATCTTACCAGGTCTGTCTTTCACGTGTACACAAATGAATTATTATTGCTGTCAAGCAGGTGTCGTCGAAAGACGTAATCGTACATCCCTAACATAAACACAAACATAAACATGAATCCCCAAATCCCTAACGATTAAACGTCAACCCCTCAAACCCAGTAATATTTACATCCAAATCCGGCAAATACAACTGAGGCGAAACCCGATCAACTCGAATCTCAGGTTTATCCTCTGAAAGATCCCCATCACTGTCTTCTTCAACTTGAATCTTCACCCGAGGCCCCTTCTCCCGCTCATGCTCAGTCTCATCTTCACTCTCAGTGCAACTAGCCGTATCCTCAAACCCAAAATCAAACTCCGAAGCCGACTCAGAAGGAAAAATAGAGGGAGCAATAGAAGCAGGAGCAACAGAAGCAGAAGATCCAAACCCAGATCCTGAACCACCTTCTTCACCAATAGACTCCAGATTCCTTCCATAACCACCACCACCATCACCATCATTCTCCTTCTCCTTCTTCCCACCATCACCTTTCTCACCCTTCTTCCCACAATGGACATCCCCAAACCCAATCTTAACAGCTCCCCCAAAACACCTCCGAACCCTCTTCGCAGACGGCCTCCTCCCAACATCCCCATCAAGCATAGCACGAACAACAATCAGAATCCTCGGGACCGCCCAAAAACACCGATCAGATTTCCTATCCCGGCGACATCTCTTCAACGCATCGCCCTCCAGCGACGCAATCCACGATTGGATCTGCACGGCGTTGCGGGACAGGTGGAAGGATGCATCTGCCATTCCGCCGCCGCGGCCTGCTGATCTGTTGCGTGCTGAGCGGTGCGTCGAGAAGGATGTGAGGGTTCTTTTGTGGAGGGTTGTTAGGATGTCTAGTGTTACTGCTGCTAGGGAGAAGAGGTCTGCTGGGGAGTCTTGTGGGAGGGAATTTGAGGTTGAGGATGGTGCTGTGGAATGGGGTGTTGGAGGGCGGAAGGATGAGGCGAGGGATTGGGCTGATTTGGAGTGGCGGAGGGAAGAGGACGGAGGGTGGAGGGTATTTGTTGGGGATATGCTGAAGGATGTTGTTGAAGGGGAGGAAGGGGGGATTGAGATGGTTGTTGAGGAGGCTGACGAGGAGGAGGTTGAGGAGGAGGAGATGAAGGTCCTTGCTCTTGATTTGAGGGGCCAGAAGGATGGACGGTGTTTCTTTGTTGTTGATGGGTTTGTATTTGGACTTGCTGTTGCGTCTGTTGCTGCTGATGATGCTGATGATGATCCTGCCGAGGAGGAGGATGAGGAGAAGGCGAAGGAGAAGCGGGATGGCGAGCCTGGTAGTCCTATGCGGATGACTGTTCCCTTTGATGCTGCTGAGTCTGGGCGTGGATTTTCTGTGGAGGAGGGTGGGCTTTCGTTTAGAGGGGATAGGGCTAGCCGGGCTGGTTTTGTTCTGCGTTTTGTTCGTCCGCCAGATTGGAGGAGGGTTTGGGTGGGTGGTGGTGGTTTCTGGGGCGCTGCTGGTGCAGAAGGTCGGACCCAGCGCTCTGGTGCGGAGTAGTTGTATGCCTCGAGGTCATTGACATGTGGAGGATTTAGGAGCGAGTCTAGCGCTTGGAATTGGCCTAGGGAGATGTGGTAGTTGGCATCAATGTAGATGTTGGATGGCCGGATTGCGCCGTGGGAGTGGCCGCGGGAGTGAAGCCAGGAGACTGCTGAGGCGAGACAGTGAGGCCAGGTGATTAGGGTCTGGCGCCGTTGCTCTTTAGGCAGCCGTTTGAAGGCTGAAGGCTCGTCGGTCAGGAAGCCGTGCAGGGTCCAATCTGCTGTGGCGTTGGTAAAGAGCACGCTCACGCTGTCGTCTTTGAGATATGAGGCATAGACTGAGATGAGGTGTTCGTGGGAGAGCTTTCTCAACTTGCGGATCTCAGCAAGGACCTCGTTGGAGGAAAAGAAATGAGGCGCGCCGCCGACTTGCACTTGAGTGCGCATATAGACTCGACAGACCGAACCAGCGAGGACGACCTTGTCGACGGTGTCATCCCGACCATGCAGTCCACTGCTTGTATGAGAGCGCACCACCTCAACAGGAACACCCTCATTCTCAGTATAGACAACGTGGTCACCCTCTCCAATGCCGCGGACCAAAAACCGCCATTGCGCATGGAAGAAGCGGGTATCGAGGTTGATATCTTCCCCGTGGGGACAAAGGCGGAGGAGATCGACACTGTGTTCCGCAATGGGCAGATCATCATCATCACACGACTCATCGACAAGCGCAAAGATGCGATCGGGAATCCCGATAGCATCCAGAATGAGAAAGAGACGACCAGCCTTGAGCAGGATGTATTCCATATATGTCTCACTGGTCAACCCCTCACCCCATCGCGGCAGTTCAAACAACCGCGGGATATTCTCTTGTCGCAGGCGGCTGACTATGCACTTTGTGTCCAGGGTGGACTTGATGCGCTCTTCGGGCCACCATAGTGACGTTGAGGTCTCTGCGTGTTGAGACATGGTCTGCGCATAAGCTTTGGAATGGCCCCGGGGAGACACACGGTCAATATAAGCAGACGTGTATATCGGAGCTCCGGACGTTATTATCTCTGTCAGCCTTAACCTTAACACCTCGGTTAAAAGTGGTGTATACGGACGCCTACTGGTGTAGAGAAGGCTTATCTCAACGGCAAGGGGAAGTGTCCAATAGCGCAAAGATCATATGAATATAGTGCAGTGTAGTGTGTAGAGTGTAGTGTAGTGAATAGATCACTACCACATTGTTCGAAGCCTCATTGTTTCAGCCAATCTAGGGCTGTTGGCTTATCTCTGGACTTTTATTACTAACGAGATAAGGCGGAGATCTTCATTGCATGGAAGGAATTCCAACTGTCATATGTAGTCAATTCTATTGAACTATTGAATATTGATGGGATCATTGCAAGGAGTCTTCAATTATTGTCTCCGTTTGGACAGGTCACTGCATGAAGTATGCCGGTACATCGCAAATTTCCTATCTCCCCGAATCTCCCCCTGACAGCGACCATGGCTTACCAAGCCAGTGGCGTTCGATAATCTCAGAGTAGTTAGGACCTATTCGTCATCAGCGCAGTGGCTTTAATTTGCACCTTGAACGAGGATGTCGGGTCGGATGGCCTCGATAAGTGCCAACGGCGTCTCCTCGGTGAATGGGACCACATAATCGACACAGCCTAGCGCGGCTAAAAGTTTGGCCCGTTGCAGCTCAGGAACGATGGGTCCGCCTGCCCCGACTCGACGGTCGTCGGAATTGAGCCCAATAACTAGAAGATCGCCCATTGCTTTCGCCCCTTGAAGTAAGTCGATGGCAGAGTGGAGGAGATCGAAATATCCACTAGTAAAAACTACGCGACGCCCCGCTGCCTTTGCATGCGCGATCTTTCCCACCAGTTCCAGTCGGCTGACAATCTTGCTCGAGATCTTCGGCTCAGGTATCTCAACATACACCTTCAACTCCGCGGACGTAATAGCAACACTCCCATCCTTCGACGCAGCCAGAGCACCAGCCAGATTGCCGATCACAGCCGCGTCAAGAATAGTATCACCGCGCGATAGGATCCACGTAAAAGCCGCAACGAGACTATCTCCGGCCCCACTGACGTCGACAACAGCACACTCAACCGCCGGAATGATCGTCTTCATCCCCCTCTGATAGACCCAGACCCCCTTCTCCCGACAAGAAAGAACAACAGCCTCAGCTCCAGTCGAGAGAAGCACACATCGGGCCGCCCGATCAACAAGAACAGCATCATCAATCCCAATCTCAGCCCCAAACGCACGCCCCAATTCCACAAGACTAGGCATGAGAACACTCGCCCCACTGTACCGAGCAAAGTCCCACCCAGAAGGATCGACAAGAACCCGCTTCCCAGACGCGCCGGCCAACCCTATGATCTGGGCGAGCAATGTTGGATTAAAGAATCCTTTCTCGCAGTCAACCAAGAGGACAGCATCGACATTTGGCAGACATCGTTGAACAATCTCTAACACTTTATCTTGGCATTCATCCGATATGGACGTCGTATCTTCGCGATTGATGCGGACAATATGTTGTTCATTACCGAGGATGCGGGTCTTGGATGTTGTAGGGCGTCCATCGTACACGAAGGCGATATTGTAGATGCCACAGTCGTGCAGGATTGAGCGGATTTTCTGGCCCTCGGTGTCTTGGCCGGTTATTCCGATTAGTGTTACCTTTGCTTCGAGGGCGGCCAGGTTTTTGGCGATGTTTGCTGCGCCACAGACGGTGGAGGTTATCTTTGTTTGTGCGAGGACTGGGACTGGGGCATCTGGGGATAGGTGGGATGCTTTGCCGTGGAGGTCTTGGTTCAGGATTAGGTCTCCTAGGATTAGGATTGATGGTTTCTTGCGGGTAACCATCGTGGTGGTTGGATGGAGGTTGGTGAGTTTGGAGGAGAGGTCCTTTGGGCGGAGGGAAGATGAGTGGGTCAGTTGGATCCGAGGTGGAAGATTTAGTTTGGATGGGCAGAGGGATATGCTGGTAAGCATTCAATCTAAAAGCGTGACGGGCGAAGCCCGGCTATATTCTCTATAAGGCGGATTGAAGGATCAAGGAGGATCATGAGAATAACCCCCTCTAAAGTATCTTCCATCTTTTGTTCTACTGGCAGTGCATATCTTTCATCATAGTTGGAGAGTGTTGAATGCACAGCAACATGGGCTGAAGATATTAGCTACTCTGTAGAAGCCTTTCTGCGGTGGAATTGTCTCCTACGCTTCAAAACCACCTATAAACCGTGTAGCGTTGAGTATAGTAGATATGAAGAGTATGGCATCAAAGCCATAGTATCAAGGCAAGTTGAGGCAAAAACGGGGATCTCGAAGACGTGATCGGTCAGGTACCCACGTTCCTAATCGGGAAAACACACCTATCAACAAGTTACCTTTACTTTCTAACACCCCGCTGAATAAACTAGTGGTAAAACAAGACAGTTAACTGTTTAAGGCCGTACCTTGCAGCGAGAGCCGGTTCGATTCCTAGAGATCGCCCTGGTAGATCCCGGTGGGTGCCTTCATTTTTTCTTCTCTCCCCTTTCTGAAGCCTTGAAGCTTTGACGTCCGTGTTGACTGTTGTATCACCTCTGATCATCCTGGTCTAGCATTAGTTTTGTGGAGGTTCGCTCAGCGACTGTTTCATGTCCCCAGAAATAAGGTGTTGCGTGGGAGCTTTGCCTAGCTCATACCATCTATCAGATAGCCATATATTAGTACCCTATGTTAGGAGTAAAACTTAGAGGCCATTGTGTGAGTTATACCTTCCAGACCTTCAACCATCGTCGTTGCCCGATTCGCCTCACATACCTGCTCATGGAGATGTTCGACTCAAACTATGGGACTCTTTCCCCTCTCAGGATTCGAACCTTTCATGTGGACCTCTTTCCCTTCCAACCTAGCCCATACATTTCTGACTCTGCGCTTGACACTGACCAGCTCAACATCATGATTGTTGTTACTGGTGGTGCGAGCTTCATTGGCTCCAACATAATCAAGGAGCTCAACAACCGTGGCCACAGCAACATCCTGGTTGTGGATGACCTTGGGGTCGACGGCGCCAAATTTCGAAACCTGGCCGATTGCCAGATCGCCGATCTGATCTCACCATCGGAGTTTCGCGCTGCCATCTGCAACAGGACTTCGACCCTCGAAACCACCGAGTTCCGAGCTACCAGCCGCAACAAGTTGTTCCTCACCCAGGCTCGCGTTGTTTACCACTACGGTGGCGCAACTGCCGAGGAAAATGGCGCCGATGTGATGGATGCCCATTTTACCTACGCCAAGGAAGTGTTCAACTGGTGCCAGGATTTGAAGATCCGACTCATCTACGCATCCTCAGCCACTGTTTATGGATCTAGCCCAAGCTTCAGCGTCACCGACGGAAAGGAGGCGCCTCTGACTCCCCAAGGCTACTGCCACCTACTCTTCGACCAGTATGTCGTTAAGAACAAACAACCTGTCAAGAACATGCAGGTAGCTGGCCTCCGCCTTTTCACCGTCTACGGACCCCGCGAGCAATACAAAGGCACCAGGGCCAGCGTGGTCAATCAGTTCTACAGTAAGCGCATGGAGTTCAAAGCGGTTGAACTCTTCGGCGAATACGCTGGATGCGAGGCTGGACAACAGAAGCGTGATTTTGTTCACGTGGAGGATGTGGCTCGCTTGAACTGCTGGTTCTATGATCACCCTGAAGTTGATGGAATTTTCAACGTCGGCACCGGGAAGGCCAGATCATTCCAGGAGGTCGCGACCCAGGTTGTTCGTCACTTCGGTAGCCCTGAGGGATACATCCGCAACATCCAATTCACTCAACACCTGAAGGGTAAATACCAGAGCTACACCTGTGCCGATCTTTCCAGCCTTCGTTGTAAGGCCGCACCCTTGGCTTTCCGTGATATCGAGGAGGGCATCCCTGAGTACATGGAGTGGCTTGACGATAACCAGTTCAATGGCAAGAAGCAGGTCGAGAAGGAGTAAGGGCAGAAACCCGGGCGAACATCTGAAAGTGCACGTAGATGGCAACACCATTTCCCTTGGTTTGTCTGCTTTTATTACGAAAGCGTTCTTAATCTGTGAGTCGGATGACTCATATTGATTTCCGAAGTGAGCTTCATTTATCAATATCTGATATGGACAGATTTCCTTGTTATGTCTGTGGAATCTTACTACTGCTGGAAGACATCCCTTCAAATGTGTATGAGCCATCATAATCACTAATGAAAAATGGGGGTTTAAATGAATTTATAAAACAGTAATGATCAAGCTCCTCCATAATAAGGAAACCTTGTCTGGTACCTCTACTAAATCTGACAGTCCAGCCTTATGACAGTAGTCAGTCATAGAAAAAGGGCTGTGTAGCAGGGAGTCGATTTTATTGTTGCTGAACACGTCAAATGAGTGTTGAACCAGTCAAAACATAGGATAATCCTATTACCATTCATGAACAGTTTCGAAAACAGTGATGTGATCTGAGGTGAACAGAGGAAGACGTTAAAACATCGAAAGAAATGGCCAAGTCCTGTCGAAAGCATCAAGAATGTTGATGTAGTTTTCATGAACATACCAAGTTCATCGATTGTATCGCAATAATTTTAGAGAAAATTTTGGCATTAGCATCTAGAAAACGTCACGTAGAACATGTTAACTATATTAACATACAAGTTCTATAAAAAGTGGTAGAAAAAATGTATAATCTCTGTGAAAGATGATATCAATCTAGTCAAAACCTATCTATAACTTAATTACTTGTTAACCTTATAACCCACGAAATCATGTTTTAAATGATGAATTGTTCATAAAATACCACTTCTACAGACCCGCTCGAAATCAGATTCAGCATTTTATTCTCTTAAATTCTCTCTTAAACTTTATTTTCGAACACGCTAATCTGTTTTTTATAAGTTATATCCTAGTTCAAAATCATGAATTGCGTTCTTAAATAAAATTACAGTATGGGCGACTTTGAAATTTACTTGAAATGACAATACGATGATACGCAAACCGCCCCAAACGTTATATTTGGCTAGCTGCAGCGGAAAAGGTTGAACCTGGACATCCTGTTCCTGCCTGTACAGTGCATGCCATAAACAAGTCTTCACATCTACCAATACCCCACAGTTAGGTAGCTGGACTTTTCCTCGGTATTTCAAGTGGTGAAACTGAATTCGAATGAGTCTTTATCTGTAGTTGGAGACAGTTCATTTCCAATTAACTCGGTCTTTTCGCAGATATATAGCCTCGGGTAATTCCTGGAATAATATAGCCGAGAATCACGGTTTGCGTGTGGTCAACTTATTGCACGCCAACAAGGGTTCTGTTCTCGGGGGCGAAGTATGGGGTTAGTAAGGAACCATTATGACAAGCTGACAGGATCGATATTAGCGACGATAGCCACCAGACGCAGTCGTGAAGAGAGGCCAGTCACCATAGCGTACCAACCGATGCAAATCAAGAGACACATAGGAACATTGGGTGGCAAGTGCGAAGTAGCGAAAGAATACCGAGATACCATGAAGCAGAATTCCCCAATCGTGATCAGCACGCTCCAGGTGACGGATCAGATTGTGGGGTTTTTTGCATTAAATAAGATAATCGGCGCGTCTAGACTGGAACATAAGGGAGTAAGCATGGCTAGGGCTGTTGTTCACTGGTCGACGCGGTGCCTCTGACATCATCACGCGACTATAATATCTGAGTATCCGCTCGTGTGGTTCCTAGGTGGAGCCCTGTCTCAGCCAATAAATGAAATAAGGTTTAGCAGAACCACAAAAAAGGGGGAACAGAAACAACAGAAACAAAAGAGAAGCTATGGCCGGACGATGTGAACGAGGTTATAATGATTTGTAGATCAGAGGCGAGGCTTACTGTTATTCAGTGGAAGGCTGGTATTATTATCATTGTTTCTTTTTCGCTACAGAGGAAGGTACGCTCTTTAATGGTGACCTTAAGCAGTCAAGAGAGACAGCGTGTTTATGGTTTGGTGCAACAGAACACCCCCGCGATAGAAACCATGGGAGAGAAACAATGATCCGCCACACTTAGTTGTAGTGACATGCGCAGTCGCAATTCCAGCCACAATTCCATCCAAGGAAAAGCTTCGAGTTAAAACATGCGCCCGGATCTTTCCATTCATAAAGGGGATTTCATCCTGCTTCCGCAGAATGTCTTGCAAGATCTTGTCATTTCGATCTGTGGAGCTGAACAAAAGTCACTCTCAACGCACCATCTCGACAGAGAGTAGAGGATGATATCACACAATTGTGAATATCCTCGGAAAGCACAGCTATTCAGCCCACACCGAGTTATTGTCAGCCAAGAAACATTCATCAGCGTGGTACGTCAAACTACCCCCCTCGTCTTCTCCCAGGACATGTTTTCCTGCAAAAAGAAAAAAAAAAAGAGCAAAGCTTGGTGAATCTTCTTGTGTTCTTCCACAGCTCACTTAAATCAGTCGGGATGCCGCCACTATCAGAGGGGATCTACGCCAGATCCGCGGCACCATCAAATCGAGCAGTGGAACTTATTGTCGTTTCATCCATCTTCACGGCGCTGGCTATGCTCTTTTGTGGAATGCGATTATACACTCGGAGGGTACTCCTCAAGATAGTGGGGGTGGACGATTGGATTGTTACGATAGCAACGGTATGGGGGCTTTTCGGGTTGGTATGAGAATTGTGGCTGACAAGGAAAAGATCCTCAGTTTCTTCCAAACCATTGTTAATACTCTCGGTAACTATCATCCCTGTCACGCAATTATCGAAGCTGCGATGTATGCTGACCCAGGCCTCGTTGCTAGCCACGAGATATGGTCTTGGATACCGGGACAACGACTTTCCTCCGAGCTATTCACCGACCTCTATAGGCAAAGTATGGAAATTGAAACCATCTCTTGAGCGCACGTTTATTCACTTGTATTAATTGATCCATCAGGTCCAATATACGTTTTACGCCATGAACTTATCGACGCTCGGCCTTTGCCGGATTTCCATGCTCGTGACCTACCTCAAATTGAACATCGCTTGGAGTCGAAGGTTCGCTCAAGGCTTGATCGCCTTTAATGTTCTCCTTTCACTCGCTGCACTTGGCATCTCTCTGTTTCGATGTCGTCCTATTCACAACGCGTGGAATTTGACGAAAGAGAATGCTGCAGGGTGCATGCCACACTTCTATGGCTTTCAGATTGGTCTGCTTGCATTAAATGCAGTTCAGGAATTCATAATCATCGTGCTTCCGATCCCAGTTATCTGGTCCATCCACCGACTCAAAGCGCAAAGGATTGTAATCATCCTCCTGTTTAGTTGTGGAATCTTGTTAGTATCACCTGTTTTAGTCTTAAATTCTACAAGAAGCTAACCACAGAACTCAGCACTTTGGCAGCAAGTGTTGCCCGTTTTATAGTAGCAATACCAATATTAACAAATGAAGTGGAGGTAAACTATCTACGTGAGTCTCCCTCCAGGCACCTCATCTGAGTTATGGATCAGACATTAACTAGCGCCGCGAGAAGACTACGTTGTTATCGGTGTGATTATGGCGTGCATCGAGTCAAATATGGGAATCGTGTGCACTTGCGCGCCTCATTTAAGGCCATTGGCCCGAAAGCTGTGTCCGGATTATTTTTCTTTTACACGAAGCCACACCGACAGCCGGCGATATACCGACCCAAACTATCAGTTAGGTAGGGTTACAGGAGTGAACAAAAGTGCCAGCTTGGGTTCGCGAGAGGTAGAAATTCCGTCGGATTTTGAGTCAGAAGAGAACCATGGAGCGTCGTCGACAGAGCATATCATCCCCGTTTAGCAGAAGGGTATTGTCCCATGAGAAGCATAGACTATTCTTTTATCATGCAACTACGCTTGGAAGGATCACTTGCGCAAGAGGCCCCGCCAATTTCATTTTTGATATGTCCTTCCTCCTGGGAAAATGCCGGAGACCCTCGGAGTCAATACTGTACAATTGGGCTGGTCGTACGCGTAAAATAATACTCCGAACGCAGATGCTCTGAGGCAGACTTTAATCACAGACATCCCAACGGTGGAGTCTGTATGACAGAAACGATTGGATAGATAGATAGCAATCGAGTTAATTCTTATTGCCAGGCACTACGGGTTGCGAAGGACACTGCGGTCCGTGAGCATAGTATCCGACAGAGTTCCCAAATACATCTTTGATCGTCCGAGTTCAGGATCGTTTGAATCCAGCATCTTCGATTTTCTCGTCCTCGTCCTATTCTACCTAATTGCGCAGGGTATGGGCAGTACTAATCACCGGATATTCCTCTAGCGCTACCATAAAAGTGACTAGAGAGGCCGGCGGGTTTCCATATCCTCCTCGTGGTCGTTGCATTCTGTGCTAGAGCAACCGGGTCGTGCGAGGACCATTCATCCACGCTGACCAGTATGGCTAATCTCGCTTTCACCTGGGAATCTTTAGCCCACAATGCTGCAGCCATCAATTTGCTACGAGTTTGCTTAACCAAGTGGAAGCAAAGAATCGCCTGAAAATCCGATTATTCTATCTAGTTTTGAAACATTGTTGGAATGGGGAATGAAGGGCCCAAATATCTATGCCTAGATAAGCTAGATAGTTGAATATTGTCGTAATTCAGAGGAATGAGCAGTTCAACTTAATACTTCTGAGGGAGTACAAGAAACTATGTACAATGCGAGGTCTAAGCCGATTGGAAATCATCTTTTCTTCGTATTCATCGTGCAGTAATTATTTCCAACGACGCGTCTTGGCCCCTAATCTGCACCAGCCTTTTATCACAATGTGCACAATGAAGACGGGTGGGTTAAAGATGGCACTTACTTTAGAAATTTTATAGTCTGGTTTGACCACACATAAAATGCAAAAGAAAAGGAAAAGGAAAGGAACAGAGAGAAAACTAGGCCGCGGTGCTTCACGACCAACCCAAAGTCAAAGTGAGGATGGAAAACAGAACGCAGACACAGCCAATGCCAAAGGAGATGTTAAACTCTAGAGAACGTCAGTGGCAGTGATCCAGGTGTAGCCCTCTTCCTTCAAAGTCACAGCAGAGCTTTTCCGTGTATCACGCATATTCAAACTGTCTCATATCTCAGCGCACCCCACGTCTGCCTCAGAACTTTCTGCGGATGAAAATCTGGCACCATACTATTTCGACTTTTTCCCAAAGAGTGATTTCTTCGGCACTCGAGCCAACCAATACATAAACAGTGCCCCGAAAATATTGACGACGATGAAGACGATGAAGATGCCAAAGTTCCTCCATCGCTGGCTATAGAAAGCGTTCACACCTGCCAAGTAGATATTGGTCTGTTTGATGGTGCAGTAGGTGCATAAATCAGTCGCATTTGGGTCTTGCAGATACCCACCAGCAGCATTGATATAGTCTTGCAAATACTGGCCGCAGTTCTGCCCTGTGGGTGGGGCAAAATGTAGCAGTTCATTTGCGGCGCAAACTACATTTGTATTTGCGACGGCGGTAGTCATCATACCCTGGACCATGTAAGTGAACGGTGACACTCGGTACATGAAGATCCAGAAATGCGGGAAGTCTTTGGGGCTGGCTAGGACACCACAGAAGATCAGACACAACATGAAGAGCAAGTTGGCGAGATTGCCACCGGCCTCTGCTGTCTCCACGCCGGCGATGATGAAGTCGGTGAAGGTACATGTGAACATCATGAATGCCCACAGGAAGAGGAAAAACAGTGCACCTCGCTCGGTGACTTGGTGTGCAGGTTCGGCATTTTGGTAGAGCCCGATTGGGTAATAAAAGCAAAGGAACATGACTACTGCCATCAACGTATTCCAGGGAATTTCCACGAGGATTTGAGAAAGCATGAAGACCTTCCAAGAGTAAACTTTCGAAGGGCGTTCACGGACCTCATAGAGCGATCTTTGGATGACGAAATACGGCATCGTCTGTTGCACTAATTGGCCGAAGACAGTCAAGAGATTGAAAATAGCAAACATCTGGTTCTGGAGTCCTTGAACGGTATTAGGGGCCTTGAAGAATGAGAACCCTAAGAGATGAACTCTGTTAGCGCAGGACTTTCGTGAAGAATTACTAGCAACTTACCAATAAAGGCAGAGACCAAAGTGACGAGAGAGGCCTTGGAGTATATATAAGATGGAGTACGCCAGTACTGCTGGACGACCCGGTGGGTAACCTCCCAAAGCTGCAAGCCAAACGGAGCAGCGAATTCTTGTAAACTTGTCTGGGCCTTGGCTTGAGTTCCAGTAATATCTCTACGGTCAGTTCGCAACCGCTGGAGTTCAGTCTGGACGGCTTCGAATTCAGGACTTTGCCGCCAGGTCGCGTGCCAATCAACCTTACTAGTTGAGCCTGGAGCAGCGCCAATGGCTTCGAGCATCCATTCTGCGGGGTTGGCGCCGGGGGGGCAAGGAAGAGCACCGTTTCGTTCAAAATAAGTTATCATGTGTCTGGAATTCCTGCCAACATCACCGAAGTAAACGGTTTTTCCTCCTTTTGCCAGCAGAAGTAGCCGATCGAAGCGTTGGAAGAGCATGGATGACGGCTGGTGTATGGTACACAGGATGGCCTGCCCACTCTTGGTGAGCTTTTGGAGGAGATCAAGAATAGCCCAAGAAGTCTGGCTGTCCAGACCAGAGGTCGGTTCGTCAACAAAAACCAGGAGTGGTGGCTTAGCTGCAAGTTCAACACCAATGGTCAATCTCTTGCGCTGTTCGACATTAAGACCTTCACCAGGAACCCCAACAACGGCATCAGCATACTCTTCCATATCAAGGAGCTTGATCACTTCATCCACATAGGCAAGCTTTTCTTGCCGGGAAACATGACCTGGCTGACGAAGGAGGGCACTGAAGTTGAGGGCTTCTCGAACAGTTGTAGTCTCTAGGTGGAGGTCTTGCTGCTGGACATATCCAGTTTTCCGCTGGAATGAGGCATTACGAGGATTCCCATCCACAAGCATCTGGCCAGTGATCACTCCCATTGATACTCGATCGGCCAAGCAGTCAAGAAGGGTTGTCTTGCCAGCGCCGGACACGCCCATGAGAGCCGTTAGAGTTCCTGGCTTTACCCAGCCATCCACATTATCCAAGATCCGGCGAGGTTTACCTTTGATATTGACGTCATAACAGACATTGCTGTGGGAGACAATGGTTAACTAATGCTTAAAAGATTCTGTGGTAGGAGAGCGCGAGCATGGAACGTTGAATTAACTTACTTCCAGTGGAACACGCTGGTTGTCTCTCGGATAGCAGCGGACTCTGCATCAGACATACTTTCAGTTGCCTTGTCTGCTACGGCGATATGTCCCGAAGTAGGCGGAATGCCGATCTCAGCGTCGCTTTTACTCTCCTTAAACTGCGGTGGTCTGTGTCCTCGACGAAAGACGAGTACTTCACCTTCAGACTTTTTCGCAGTGACAAGCTCCGTGAGCATCATATACAGAGCATGGAAGAATCTAATAAGCTCTTAGCATATCGAAATGGTACATCTAGTGAGTGGAGGAGGGACATACATAATAAACCCAATCACAATCCCAATGTTTCGCCATTTGTGACTAGGGTCGTACCGGAAAGAAGCTTTAATGTAGTCTGTTCCTTGTACATACAGACTCCCAGAAACAGAGCCAACCGCCGAGCATATGCGATTTTCGCTGCTGACATTTTCATACCCAGAAACTGTGTTGCTTGGGATGAACGATGTGCAAAGGTAATGGCGACCAGCAAACTGTTCTCGGATTAGCCTCCAAGCAGGCAGCAAAAAGAAAAGAAAGGAAGACGTATAGGAGGGTACAGACCTCGTTGATCATAAGTGATTCGAAAATGTATGCCATGGGATCGATGTAGTTGATCCACCGCGACCAACCCAGCATGTAGTCGATAGGAATGACGAATCCAGTGAACATGACGAGGGCCAGGATAAGAACGGCGGCTGGTACCATGGCTTGTGACAGGGTGCGGGAAGCAGACGCAATGGTGCGAAAGATGCCAGACATTGCTAACACCGCAAGGAAAGACGTGAATAAGTAGAAAAAGAAAGCCCCTGGTTCACGGCGAAGATTGCTCATAAAGTCTGTTTAGATGTCAGAAAACCCATTCCCCTCTGGCGCGTATAAACCTACAAATAATCAGATTGAACACGAGGGTGTTCAAAACCTTGTATGGCATGTCCATCAAAGCTGAGGCAACTGCTTCCGCGGAAGGATGATAAAAGGCATATCGATCATGTTTCTCGACAATTCCACGTTGGGCATACAGAGTGAGAATTTCCAAAGCAGAACTGAAGGCGTTCATTAAGACGGCAAAAAATAAAAGAGCAGAACGTTGAAAGAAACTTCCCGTGGTCATGTTCAAGTTATAATATATGGAGGAGACAATTAACCCCATAGCAATATTCGCAATCAGCTGGCCAACAGTGATCGAGGGATCGCCAAGGAAGCGTCGATAGGCACGCCACAAACACAGGCCAATTTGCTGCTTATACGACAGAGTATAGGGGGACTTCGCCCGCTGGCCCTTAGCTTGCTGCTCTCTTTTTAGGGAGCGGAAGGTCTGCGCATCGGGTCCGTCAATGGGGTGTTCGGTCTTGTAGGCGTCAATCTCGGCCTGCAACCGCTGGTAAGCCTCACTGTTGTGCCAGGCGGCAGCGAATTCATCCGGCGTCCTGGGGGTCATGTTTTCATATCCGGCACGGACCAGACGCTCCCGCGGACTAGTCATGGAAGTTAAAAAGTCGGGGGTCGTCTGACGTTCAGGGCACTCAAAACCGAGATTGATAAAGTACTGGCGAGCCTCATCAGCTCGACCAAAGAAAATCTGCCTGCCTTCGTATAGGACCAAGGCTTTGTCGAAGAGATCGTATGCGCTCTGCGGCGCTTGATAAATGGACACGGCGCAAGTCGTCTGGAAGATTTCGGTCTGAAGTCTCAGCGTCTTGCAAAATTCAATCGCGTTCGCGCTGTCTAATCCTCGCGTCGAATTATCCCAGCATTGAAAAGGTGCCCCTGAAAGAGCTGCCTCAGAGATCGTAACTCGCTTCCTCTCCCCGCCGGAAATACCCCGAACATACTCGTTGCCGACCCTCGTGTTCTTGGTGTGACTGATGCCAAACATCGCCATCACGACGTCCCTGAGATGATCAGAGAACATGGAGGGAGTCACACCAGAGGGTAAATGACGTGGAGTGCGGGCACGTGAAGCAAAAGTCAGAGTTTCGCCAACCGAGAGCATAGGAAAGTGAACGTCGACTTCAGCGGTATAAATCGCGTCACCCCGGTGTTGGGTGTGCATTTCCTCCGCAGTAACTCCCTGATAGTTGAAATACGCCTGGTCGTCGACAAAGAGGCCGCTCGTCTCCCCGGCAATGGTTTTGAGGAAGGTACTGCATCCGGATCCTGGAGGCCCTAGGACCACTAGCATCTCTCCCCTATGCACAACGCCATCGAATTTGTGCAGGATGGTAGCGCGGCTCTTAGAATGGCCCAAGGTCTGGCGGGCGAGCCCAACGGCCTCCAGCCACACATTCCCGACGTTCTTCTGGTGGCGGCTGCCAGCGCTATAGCCAGAAACCGTCATATTTTGGAAGCAGACACCGCTGGTCCGGAACGAGCCACCACTCGACGCGACCTTGTCGACCTGCGCCCTGGCCCAGGCGCGGGCATTAAAGCTCGAGCTATTGGGATCCAAGCAGGAGTTTGACTCTGTCTGCGCTAGGAAGACGCTCCCATTTCGGTTTTTTTGTGACTCTGATGTGAAGGTGCGAGCAAGATCTTGGACCAGATCGTGCCTTCGCCCTATTTCCTCGACATCATCACCCGAGTCGGTCCCTCCATCTCCACCTACCTCGGTTATGGAAGTTTCGTGGCCTCCGCTGACTTCGGAGTTGTAGTTGCTCTCAGGTGCCTGATGTCCGGTTAAACGGCTGTGCGTGACCTGGGCCGTGCGATCCTCATCGTCGGGAGTATCGGTGCCTATGACCGACATGATAGGCAACTTGCCAAAGTCCTATATCTGTGCTACTAAGAGTCGTCTTAGCAGGTTACAGATAGCGGTACTAAAACGGTAGTGAGGGTTGTAGAGAAGGGGAAGCCCAGGCCTCCCTAAATAGAAAGCTTACAGCAGGGACCAAGTCATTGTCCGGATACGACGACATCCCAAGCGAGCTACCGTTGTAAGCCTCTAAATGCGCCTAAACCAATTGAACTAATTGCTTTGGTCCAGTAGACTTTGGACGATGCTTCCGCTGAGTAAGCGCATCAAGTAGCTGGTTAACAACCGTTCCGAAGGCCTTGACCAAGTCGAAAACATCCACTGAGCTCAGCCACTAAAGTTGTCTGGATTTAAGTTCGACGCAGCCATCGGCAGACCGGAAAACAGGCCTTCCGGTGCAGGCAGAGTGGCGTCTCCAGGGGAATATAAAACGTGTCGGAACGGCTAAGATACCTCCCGCGCTGACTCAGTGCATAGTTCCCCCTCTTTGCATTTCATCTCGGGTGTTTTGGCGGCTTTTTGGCGGCTTTTGGCATAGGTACTTGCTCGGTTAATTTTTATCGCCAAAAGAATGGCAAGTCAGCACCCGGATTCACACCTCGTGAGGTTAAATACCAACGCTTGCGATGCTTGTTCTCAAAGAAAGGTACTGTTAAAGACTTTCCTCGCTTTACGTGGTTCGATTTCTCTAATACACTGAGGAACTTCCTACAGATTCGATGTGACAAGGCTTACCCGAAATGCGATTGGTGTACGCACCAAGGCGCCCCTTGTACTTTCACTAGAAAGTTACGTAGGCAAGGAAAGGTCGTCAGTCGAAATATGAACCAGGTTTGTCTATTCATTCCCAGAGCTGGAATCTTATTAATGCAGTTGAATTTAACCTGCAGAGGGCAGCTCGATTGGAAGAGCGTATCTCGTTCATGGAAAATATCCTCAGCAATAAACTTGCGGACAACTTCCTTGGCAAACCAATCAATACATCAGTAGAAAGCGATGCAGATCCGAGCCAAATGAAGGGGTTGTCATCCATCCAGCAGGGTTTCTTTACGCTTGCTGGCAAGGGAAGTTTAGCTTACGATAAGTACGGATGCTGCGATTCGGACCCTACCACGATCATACCACAGGCGCGGAAATTGGTACAGTCAGTTCTGGGCTATTCAGTGAATCTTCAAGGTCTTTTCCAACCTAGTCCTCCTTGGCAATGTTACGAATCAGAGCATGTGCGTCAAGCCCTGCCGGTACCACGTTTGATGAAACTCCCAGACATCAGCATTATCAATGACTGTGTGGCGGCATACTTCAGCTCATCTATACGCTTTGTACTCCCAATTATAGATCGGACTCTCTTCAAAAACACAATCAACCTTGCCTACTCGGCGTCATCGGCCGATTATCCAGGAACCTCAGCTGCTAGGGCATGCATTTGGGCGTTCCTATCCTTGTGTTCGATATTGAACTTACCTGTGGTGCATGTGCTACCCGTCGACGCTTTCACTCTTGCCACGGAAGTTGAAAATTACATGCCTCGTATTCTCCAAGAGGACACGATCGACGGGCTCCAAACACTTCTCATGCTGGTACGTTGCCAGATATCAATCAACTCTTGCGGAGAATATGTGCCTCTGACCTTGGTTCTACGAATTAGCTAGTTTTTCATTCTTCCTCCGGGAACTTGCGGAACGGACTCTTTCTGGACTCTCTCGTGGCCCGATTAATTTATAGATTTGGTGCTCACGTGAAGTCTCCGCCAGCATCTGGTGAATTCTTCCACGAGAATGATTTGTCCCCAGTGGGTTACCATCTCCGCAATCTGTTCTGGATTGCTTACATAATCGACAAAGAGTTGTGCATTCGGATGGGTCAACCGGCCGCTATTCAAGATGAAGCCTGCGACCTCACCCTCCCACCAGGCTACGAAGGTCAGCTCGCGGCATTAGGATTGGCTAGCGAGTGTGATCAGCTAGAACCAAGAGGCCACTTGTACCCGACTGATCTCCGGTTAATCAAGATCAAGTCTCGTGTCTATAGTGCAATTTACGGGCCGGCAGCTCTGCACAAGCCGGACGCCGACCTCTTAAAGTCTATTCGTGAACTTGACGAAGAGCTCGAGCAGTGGAGGCTGTCGATACCTTTACAATACCGACCCAGCCTTTCAAGGGCCCCACAGCAAATGACCGATGCCAGCCCTCATATAAGAATGCATACCGTCCTCCTCCAGGTCGGCTATTATCATTGTGTGGCCATTCTTCACCAAGCTTGTGGCCGATCCAAGGCATGGACTAGCGGTGAGACCAATGGAGTCGATGGGATTGGAATGAGCTTTAGACTCGCGGTGGAATCGAGTCGATCATCTCTCTTATTCCTCCGGAAAGTTCTGCCTACACTGCCGGAGGGAACTTTCTGGTAAGCTTGGAATCACTCTTGGGCTTCACCGTTGTCAGTGAACAACGCTTACGATCGTCTCAGGGTTCTTATGTTTTATCCATTGTCGGCGTGTTTGATGATATTCGGAAACCTCATCCTTTCCCCTTTGGATTCCCGAACTGCGGAGGATCTCACACTGCTCGATTCGACCGCTTCCTTAATCAGAGGGCTCCATACGGACTCCCGGTCAGTACATATGAAGCGCCTGGTGGATCTTGTTACAGAGCTCAGTGGACTTGCCCAACTTGCCGTCAGTGAGGCACGAACAGATCAGTTCCTGTTCTTGACATAGCAGGAGGATTCTCGGATACAGGTTGATAAGCCGATCATTAACTAAATTCCCCGGAATGAGGGTCTACATTCCTTTTATCATATTACGAACCATATACTTACCTGCATCTGTATACTATGCCTGAAATCTTCAGAGATATGGGATTTGGGAACAACCCCCAGAATAGTCACCAGGGGACGAGAATAAAAGAGAAGTGAAGGACAGTGGTTTTATCCCATGTGATAAGCGATTTCCGGTAATGACGTCTTTAATAGACTCTTAGTAGGTGAGGATGTTAAAGCTGATATTTTCATTGTTTTTGGAGTTCTATTTTTCATTTCCTCTCTTTGGAAATGGCCTCAGGGGTGGCCTGAGACCTTGAGTTGCCAAGCCGCTCACAATGTCTCCTAGACTTCAATGCCTTTCATGTCATAATAAGCCGGGTGTGAGGTACATTTTCATGATAGCAATACGTAAATTGCCTTTGTCAAGAGTCGCTTTCGAACATGGCCAAGGGAAGATAGAAACTTCCCAAGTAGTTCTTGATTCCATAGAAATGCATGAACGGTTCCGACGTCAAGCACTCCCATGCGAGCATAATATGCCTACATTTTACACACTCAAACGGTCTATCTACATACAGTACACCCTACAATGACGAGACGATCAAGTAAGCAAAGCGAGGCCTATCTTCATTTGATTAGGGAGTGGATAAATACAATACAAAAGGCATCCCTCGCAGCCAATCCATATCAGTCAATTCGCGAGCCCAGACAAACATGGGGACACCACGAAGACAACTAAATTCAAAGATAAAAGCGGAATGCAAAAAGGCACATCAATTAGATACGAAAAAAGCAATCCAAGCACATTCCCATTTATAGCATCAAGCTGAAGAAAACAGCAAAAGATCCCAGTACCAGGCTGGTAGCGACCGACAGGCTGGACGCCGAGTTGAATACTGGCGAGGCGCTGGCCGAGGCACTTCGACTAGCTGAGGCGTATCCGCTTGCTGAGGCTGTGGCCCAGGTTGCGGATGCGGGTGCTGGGACGATGCCTGTGTTTGCTGGGGAGGCGCCGCTTGGACCGGCGGGGACGAGGCCGACTGTTGCACCTGCCGTAGCGCCAGTGCCTGTAGCTGTGTTTGTGATGAAACTGACTTGGGGGACTGTCAGGGTGTAGGTTGAGTAGGTGATTGTGGTGAAGGGGACGGCTGGGGCAGAAGTGAGGGGTGCAACTGGGGTGAGGGTTGCTGGGATACCAGTTGCGTCGACGTCGCTGGGGATCGCGACTGAGGGAACGACTGTTGGGGCGAGGGTGATCGTTGAGGGGATGGCGGTGACGATGCCTGGGTTTTGGGGCACCCAAGTTGCGCAGATACCGGTGAAGTAGGAAAGGGCCGACTGGATCTCGGACTTTGAGGCGCCCCAGGCTTGGATGCAGGAGATGACCTTGTCGGTGAACTCGCTGTTGGGGCAGAAGCAGGAGGCGTCGCTGTTGGATGCGCACTTTGGTGCCAGGCTCAACCAGGTGTTGATGCACTGGGGCACGGTGTTGGGGCAGGGAGCAGAGGGAGCTGGGCTCGACGCTGGGGAGGTTCCGGTGACGGCGACAGCGGTGGTAGTTGCGGCGGAGACGGCAACGGTGCCTGTGGCTGTAGCGCTGCACTTGGTGCAGATTGTAGAGACTGAAGTGAGGGTAACTGTGGAGACGGTGTTGGAGGTTGTCAGGTAGGTGGATGAGCCTGAAGTCACGGTGCCGGTGACGGGACAAGTGGTGACGGTCTCGTAGGTTACAACTGTTGTAGTGTGGTCCTCGGGAACTGCAGGGGTAGAGTTGGCACCGACACTTGTGGGAGCAGGGCTAGTGGCCACCTCGGTACCAGAGGGAGCGGGAGTGCTACCGGCAGCAACTGAGCTTGGAAGAGACGAAGTCGAAGTCAAGGTAACAGTCGAAACAGTGCTGTACGTGGTCACAAAGGTGGAGGATCCCGAGGTAACGGTGTCAGTAACAGGGCAGGTAGTGACGGTCTCATAGGTAACGACAGTGGTAGTCTGGCCCTCAGGAATTGTAGGGGTAGAGCTGACAACGACGCTGGTCACAGCGGGTCCAGTGGGAGCAGGGCTGGTAGCAACCTCAGTTCCAGAGGGAGCGGGAGTGCTACCGGCAGCGACCGAGCTGGGAAGAGAAGAAGTGGAGGTCAAGGTGACAGTCGAAACAGTGCTGTAGGTGGTCACGAAAGTGGAAGATCCAGAGGTGACGGTATCAGTAACAGGGCAGGTAGTCACAGTCTCGTAGGTCACAACTGTAGTGGTGGCCTCACCAGGGACACCGGGGGTGCCGACAGGAGACGAGGCAGCAGGAGTCAAGCTAGAAACCGAAGGAGTGCCTGCAGGGGACGATCCCGACGATGAAGGAGCGGGAGACTCACTGGGAGCAGGCGAGCTGACGGGAAGGACGCCGCTGGGGCTGGGAACACCAGGCACAGACGAAGATCCAGCGGCCGGGGTAGTCTCGGTGACGGGGCAGACAGTGGTCGAGATAGCGATAGTGGAGGTGACAACAGCCGTGGAACCAGCAGGGCAGTCAGTGACACTAGCTGCGCAGCTAGTAATGGTGATCTCGCTGGTGGTGTAGATAGTCGAGGTAGTCCATTGAGCAGGAGTGGTAACGGCACCGGCAGTTGAGGGAGCAGGAGTTTCGGCCGGAGTCGAAGCCGAGTCAGAGGGAACTGGGGCTGACGGAGTCTCGCTGGCTGATCCAGACCAGACAGAGGAGGAGTACCCAGCACTGGAGCTGGCAGGCAAGACACTGCTAGGGCTGGGAGCACCGGGCAGGGAAGGCGAGCTAGCGCCAGCGGGAGTAGTCTCAGTAACCGGGCAGACAGTGGTTGAAACAGCAATGGTAGAAGTAACGACAGTGGTAGAGTCAGCCGGGCAGTTGGTGACGCTTGCAGCACAGCTGGTAATGGTGATCTCGCTAGTCGTGTACACGGTCGAGGTGGTCCATTGAGCAGGTGTAGTAACGGGACCAGGAGTGGTCACGGCGCCAGGGGTCGAAGGAGCGGGAGTTCCAACAGGGGTCTCACTAGCAGATGAAGGCCAAACGGATGAGTACGGGGCACTGGAGCTGATGGGAAGGACATCACTGGGGCTGGGAACACCAGGCACAGACGAAGATCCAGCGGCAGGGGTAGTCTCGGTAACTGGGCAGACCGTGGTGGAGATAGCAATGGTCGAAGTAACAACGGTAGTCGAGTCGGCCGGGCAGTTGGTCACAGTGGGGGCACAGCTGGTTATGGTAATCTCGCTCGTGGTGTAGACGGTCGAAGTGGTCATCTTAACAGGGGTGCTGACGGCTGGAGTAGTGACGGGAGAAACAGACGTGGGAACGGAGACCGAGGGCACAATGGAGCTAGATCCAGCAGCAACCGAAGTGTATGGCACCGAGGTCGCAGGGATACTGACTGGAACCGAGGCAGTGCTTGTAGTACCAGGAGTGCAGTCAAAGCCAACACTGTAGATACCGAAGCCACAGCTCTCAGTCTCGCTGTCCTCAGGAAGCTCGAATTGAACAGAAGTAGCACCACCACACTGGTCGTTGGTGACGGTGGTACCACCGGAGTGGCAGCTGGCGGTGTTCTTGCAGGTAGATCCATCGGGCATGCTGTAGATAATGTGCAGTTCAGTCTCTTTCTCTGTGGCAATGTGGAAGTTGGTCACGGAGAAACCACTCTCCTCAGAGCCGCAGGAGAACGAAGGAGCCGAAGAACCGGAGCTGCTGGAGCCAGAGCCAGAGCCAAAGCCATAGTTGGAGCTAGAGCCAGAGCCATAGCTGGAGCCAGAGCCGGAGGAGCTGGAAGATCCCTTGGAGACAGTACCAGAGATACACTTCTGGGTCTAGAGTGAGGTTAGTCCACTGTTCATGTCCAAGATACCCCAACTTGTTAATATCAACATGAACTTACACCACGCTTGCCAAGGCTGGAGCCAAAGCCGTTGCCACAGGTGAAACCAGAGAACTCGAAGCCGCCATAGCTGGAGAACGAACCAGCAGCGAGATCAGTCCAGCTGAAACCCTTCTGCTGGTGATCGTTACACTTGTTGGGGGATCGACCCGGGCTGGAGTAGCATTTCTCAGAACCCCAGTACTGTAGATGTTAGTGTTGACATCGTCGGACAGTTATCGATTGGCATACCGATCCAGTGGCCTGAACAGAGGCCAGAAGAGAGAAGAACGCGAAAGAAGAAACCTTCATCTTGAAGGACGTCGATAACGAGTGACGGGAAAGTGGGAGACGAAACAGGAGAAGAAAGAAGAAAGAAGAAAGAGCAACGAAGAGTTATAAAGTCCGATGTCAATAAGCTCTCGGTAGAATAGAGCGCTGAATGTAATGATACAAGTGCGACGTGATTGTTTGACCAGCAACAATGAAAAGGTGTCAATGAAAGCCAATAACGAATAACGAGGGTGGCACAAGAATACAAAACCCTGAACGAGTGGGAAAAAGGCCCAAAGCCAAAAGGAAAACACAATGACAGACTGAAAGTGGTCCAGAGCCCTGGGCAAAGCGCTCTTAAAGACTCCATAGTGGGCCATGAACGAAGACAAAGGGTCCTTTCCCTTCCCCTCTGAGGGTAACTTGCTAGGGAACAGGTAAGACATGCTGCTAGAGGGGGGGTTGATTCCTCCAATCGGCATGAATCTGAAGGCATATATGAAACGTTCGTCAGCCAAAAGAGGAAGAAAGTAGGATCCATTTCAGGCGCGGCGCCGACTAGTGCAGGAACAGCCTGAAGAGGTTGCAGTGGAGAGCCAGTTAGGGCATGCAGGAGACCAGGGCGGCTGCGGGGGTTCATGCCATGTTCGTCGACTCGACACTGTAAATTAATGAGCCGATAGAAAGTGGAAAGAGTAAAAATAGCATGGAACAATGGAACGGCGCTTGATCGGCACGGCTACATGGATTGCAAAGCATTGGGGATGTACAGGCCGTCCATTTGCAGGGTTCTAACTCTTCTTTCTCTTCACCCAGTTCTTGGTATACACCCCAACACTATCCAAATCTACTATTCACATGAGTCTCATTTTTCTAGTCTACGAGTCAACTGGTACTTTATATTGGAATCTAAATGCGACCGGTCAGACGGAGTGCCACTTGGCGTCTCGCCCTGAGACGTTAGCGTCAAATAATCTAATCCTCGCACTTTGCTGTTCTGTTCGGTGACTGCCGGTACCATCCGTGCGTGATCGTCGCTGATCTTCTGAGCTTTGCTTTTGTGGAGAAGCGCTGTGATTGTTGCACTCGAAGCGCCAGGGATCAGCGAATCACAAAAAGGCACACCAAGGACCAACAAGACCGCTGGATTGATGTAGGACAAAGCAAAATCCCCTGTGTGAATTAGTATTATTTTCTCTCCTCTTTTCTCCCTCTTCCTTTAAGGGGTCACCCCTGAAAGCTCGAACAGTAGTTGTGTGAGAATGTGCCACAATCCGCCCACTCCAACGGCCTAACTGGTCTACTGGCAGTTGTGGCGCCGGGTACCTGAACGGGTTCCCTCTTAACTTGGTTACTGATTTGTTTTGCCAAGTGGGTGTGGATCCGTGGGCTGAAGCAGACCAGAAGCGCCAACGAACTGCACGCTAACGTCCACTGGTGGATCGCAACTCGGCAGCTCTCTCGGGGTTTCAATCCGTTTCAGTGCCTTGGGTCCTTTTCTGCACGGTTGTGTGACCGATGCAACATGAGCATGAGCATGAGCGAATTTATTTTTCGGGTCAATCGTGCAAGTTCTCCAGCCTAAGCGAACTATAACCCCGTGAGAAACCGATACTCCGGCACTGCGGCATTTTGGCTTGGACTGTTCAACGCTTTGTGAACCTTAGTACTTGTAGAGATAGATTAAGAATTGAAATAGAGACAGAATATAAGTCACTCGTTTGTCTCAATCTTTCGCATGGGACGATGGCTTTGTCAGCTGAACTCTGCGGTCCAGAACTTTTCGACCTTTGGCCGGGTGCGTATCCAACCAGGGAGCTCTTTGTGGAAATCTTTCCGAACCACTGCCGTTGTTGGTGCAAAAACAAGTCGTGCGCACTATATTTGAAGGGGTGTCTATCCGCTATTTGCCTATTCTTTAGGACAAATCGTTTCGCATCGTGCAGAAACTCCGATATTTTAAGATCCTGATCAGCCTGTCCCAGTCAGCAGGTATATGGTCACATCAATCAATCAATCGATCAATCAAAATCTATTGACCTGTTGGAGCCTAACTAGTATCGTAATAAGTGTCTGGGAGGTGGGAAGCTTTGCCTAACTCGAGCTATGGAGGAGCTCTCCTAGCTTCTCGAGAAGCCCTATAAGACCTGCAACCTCCTGTTTTAGTGAAATTATGTCTTTTTTAGTATCCTTCACCCCTTTGATATAACCCCCACAGATTTTGACAATGCTCCCTATCACTTGAACAACAGCGACTACGCTGGCTGCTGCAGAAAGTCCGTCCATTCCGGAGGGGATTATAAATAGATCTTGGTTTTCACACCGGGAAACGTAGTGGTGGAGTTAAAGGAGGCAATTTCCCGTGGGGAGGCGAAGAAAGAAGGGAGTAGGCGCTAAAATAAGGCTGTGATCTAGAGTACAATTCTACAAGAAGGACAGAGCCAATCATATTCCAGCGGTGCCTAGCAAGTCACGAGACCATTCTGGAGCCACGACTGTCGGCCCGAGCCGGACCAAGTGTTACAAGAGGCGAGTGTGCTTAAAGATTCCAACAGATATCGCATACCAACAAAAACTGTGATGTAGCAATCGAATGCGAGACCTTGTATTATATATGTGACATCCTATAGCTCTCCAATATCGAAACCTATATTCCGGAAATATCCTCTTGCGCTTGCTTCTTTGCTCCCACCTTGTCAGCACAGCTTACAAGCAATGCCCCCGGCATAAAAGATAGGCTCTCGGTTTACTTCGATTCCGCTACTCTCGAAGGCCGGGTCTTCCTAGAACCGCCGAGACCCCTGCTTCACCTGTGATGACGCCCGAGGGGGTTGAAGGCGAGGCCGGCCTCCACGATTCAAGCCACAACACAACAAGGGCCATTTCCGACTCCAGCTTTTTCAGGGAGCATCGGGCGTCTACGCTCCCTACCCCGGCCGAGGTGAGAGCCATCAACGTGGAGTCAGGCAACATCCGTGGCACAAGGTTCAACCGACCCCCGCCTGTCAAGTTTCCATCGATGGGCCTGATTGTCAAATATGGAGCCGACACAACCATTACAGAGGCAGAGACCCAAAATATGGTATACAAGCAGTTGAAAGGCAGAGTACCAGTTCCTGAGGTGTTTGGGTGGACCGAAGACTGTGGCCAAGCATTTATCTACATGTCTTTGATAGGGGGCGAACCCTTGGAGCAAAGATGGGGTGTTTTGAACGATGAGGAGAGAGAGGCTGTCTGTAAAGAGATCAACAGCATGGTCAAGGCCTGGAGATCGTTAGAACAGCCCGAGCAAGTCCTTTACGTGGGTAAGTGATTTGAATTCATTGCGGTAGCTAGGCAGAACTATGCTAAAGTTCCCCTTAGGTGGCCTAGATAATCAACCTCTAAATGACATCTTTCTTTCCGGTCACCGGGACTTGGCTGGCCCATTCCACGGTGCAGACGCCGTCCAGAAATTTCAGAATGGCTGCGATATCGAGATTGATGGGGAGGTGCCCGTGGTCTTCACGCATGACGACCTTGTGCCCCCAAATATCCTTTTATCGCCCGGGACGAATCCAGTAGTAGCTGCCATCATTGATTGGGGCCAGGCAGGGTGGTATCCTGCTTACTGGGAGTATTGCAAGGCGCGTCGCGTCAGGCCGGATCCGGAATATTTTGATGAAGACTTGGATGAAGAATGGAATACGAGATACCTGCCAACTATTTTAGACCCGGTCGATGATGAGACAGTATACCACCCTTGGTTGTGGTTTGTCTTGTCCAAGGGTATCTAGTTATGCGAATGAAGATGCTCATTGGGACTATACAACCGAGGGTAGATAGAAAATATACCTTATGAATTTTATATATTCTAGCCCTTAGGTCATAGGCACATACGGTCAGGAGAACGAGGTCAAAAAAAACCTCGTACATACCACACTCATCGCGTATAGCTAGATCAAATATCCGTCCTCTCGTCTATTTTACCGTTTGTTGTCTAACCAGGCTCGCTGAGCGCTTCCCATAGTTTACTCCTTGCCGCCGCCCCAAACCGCTCCAACCTGCCCTCCCCCAAAACCATAGACCGCGGATACTCACCCAAAACATCCTCTCCCAGAATAAGAAAAGCCAACATCTACACCGTCTAAAATACCCGAACCATGCTGAAGAGTGTAGAAAGTGAAGACATCACGAAGCATGCCGACGTAAAAAGGTGCATCGGTCACTCCGCGAAGTAGGGCGAGACAAGATTCTTGCTCTAACCTATACAGTCTTTACACAGTACAACTTTGTTCAAGCAGCTCAACGGTGTCCATCATGTGCGCAGCTTCCCCGCTAACAATTGGGGTCCTCGGGTAAGTCTTTGTCCTTGAGAACGTTTCTATGAGTCAGGATAGCATGCACAAGTCCAGGACGTGCTTTTTGCTGACGGTGACGACAGAGCCGGCGTCATTGGACTGCAGACTCCTTGATTCTCAAAGAGGCAGTTTTCAACGTCGTCATTGTCGCCAAGGACTTTCCGGGATCGGAAGACCCTCTGTATACATCGACATGGTAAGCTCACCCTACGCCCGCGGGCTGTCATTGACCACTCCCCGCAATGGCGCGGGATACCCACGGTACGGAATGTCACTGGCTCACGTGCATGCGTTAGGTCAGGGGCTGTGAGTACTGAGCTCGTACCCATGTACCTCCATACCTCACGGCGTACTAAAGTTCCGAGCACCACAGCAATGGCGGACCAATATCGATGTCGGCAACCAGCAGGACTGGGACCGGCAGACCTTTCTGCATTGGTCCGATTTGGTCCAGACAGCCTCCCCGGAGACGCTCGGCCTGTAGGTACGTATGCACATCAGATGCAAGGTTGTTTGGGATGGCATCCATCCAGATTCCAGGGACGACGCATGAGGCCATATTGACATGAGAGAAACCACCTGCAGCTGTATCAAGCCACGTATCTATGGTCCGTCGAACTCCACATCAGCAAAAAGCACGCGACTTTGAAATTACAGCCGTGTCGCTCACCGTTATTTGCACAGGGACCACGCAGATGATTGCCGGCCGGAGGATTCGCACTGGTGGACCAAGTCGTTCATCCCAGGCTTCCGCGTCCTCTCGCGCGACCAAGTGGCCGAGGAAGGGCCACTCGCCGCGGGCATGGCCTATGAGACATTCGCCCTCTGCCGACGCGCTACCTCGCCTATCTACGGTTTAGTACAAGTTAGGCAAGGCTGCAACGAGAGACTGCGAAAGATATACATAAACCGGTAACGCGTAATATTGCACCAGATTCCTTCGCATCGCGCAACCCAGCCCTGCATTTTCCGTGACATAAATATAACCTCCTCCATGTGCAAGCTTTGAAGTGTTTTGGTAAAGCTCCAAGGGAATAGCCAAGTGGTTCTCCTGATCTTGAGAGGTAAGAAATGCCGCCCGAAACTCGGTTTGCCGTTGTTGCTAGCACGGGCGCTTCCGACTTTACGCCCGCCTTCGAGGACGCCGTTCTCGGCATCGTCCCTTCGGCCCTCTTTCTGGTTGTGGCCGTACAGCGTCTCTTTTGGCTTGCGAGACAGCCTCGCAAGGTCGCCAAAAGCCACCGGCCAATCGTGAAAGTGGCACGTGATAACCTCCGCCCCCGAAACCATAGATGTTTTCTGGGTCTATTGTGTCCGCAAGGAAAAACAACTACTGACTGGTTCAGTAACTGTAGGGATTGATAGGCGTATACACAGCTTTACAACTTGCAGTCTTGGTGTACTGGGCTCTGAATGCAGAGAAGTGGCCTTTCTCTCAATTGCGGACGTCGGCCGCCGTGCTCGCCTTCATCGATGGATTTTTGCTCTTGTTCCTGTCCCACGCCGAGCACGCGCGCTCGGTGCGACCGTCGACCATCATCAACGTTTATTTACTCTTTACTTTGCTATTTGACTGCGTCATCGCCAGAACCCTGTGGCTTGCCGACCATGACTCCACCATCTCGGGCCTCTTCACCTCAACTGTCGCGATCAAACTCTTTGTCTTGACTTCGGAAGCTTGGGAAAAGAGACCTATACTCCTGTCACAGTACCAGTATCTCTCCCCAGAGGCAACCAGTGGCATACTGGCCCGGGGTGTCTTCTGGTGGCTGAATTCATTGATGCGAACGGTGTTCACTCGCTCCCTCACCGATCATGATCTGCTCCCCATCCATGACAGCCTAGCGGCACGAACACTACTCCCGAAAGCACGAAACTCGTTTGGTTCATCAACCAATCCAACCGCCATGCCTTGGCCTTCTCCACGTTGTGGGCCACCAAGTATATCTTTCTGGCTGGCGTGGCACCCCGGCTTGCATTGGCAGCTTTCAAGTACACGCTGCCCTTTCTCATCACCAGGACGACTTCCTGGACAGCCGATCCGTCGCAGTCGGATGCAATTGGATGGGGACTGACGGGTGCATGGCTGCTGGTCTTCCTTGGGCAAGCAATTTCGAACGGCTTTTATTACCAGATGACATATCGATTTGTCACTTCGATTCGCGGCAGTCTCTGCAGTTTGATCTACACCAAGACGTTGGATCTCAGCAGCGCGGCTCTTGACGAGTCCGTGGCGGTATCGCTCATGTCCACGGACACCGATAGTATCTGTCAAAGCACCGCAACCTTGCACGAGCTTTGGGCCTCGCCAATCGAGTCTGCGGTCGCCATCTTTCTCCTGTATAGGCAGCTTGGCCTTGCCGCGCTGGCCCCGGTCGTTGTAGCAATTATTGCCACTACTGGCATGTTGCAGCTTGCCCAGTTCATTGGCACGGCCAAGAAGAGATGGATGAGGGGCATCCAAACGCGGGTCGATGTAACGGCTTCCGTCCTCGCATCCATGAAGGTTAGGATCCAGCGGGAACGCCTGATAATACCTATTCTTGACGTCAGGCTACAACACTAATCGGTTCACTGCAGGAAGTCAAAATGCTTGGCTTGTCAGATGTTGTCGCGAACATGATCCAGAACCTCCGCATAACAGAGCTGGACTTGTCCAAGCAGTATCGCAGACTATTGTCCATACAGACTTTCATTGGTAGGTACCTTAGCTATGGATCCTTGCTATGCCGCGTTTTCAACGTGTCGTCATGACGCTGCTGCTGATTCCTTTGGCCGAGTAGCAATGAACACGGCGACCATCGCCCCTTTGGCGACCTTTGTAACCTTTGTGATTGTTTCCAAGAGCACTGGTCAGCCCTTGAACACGGAGTCTGCTTATACCTCGCTCTCGCTGATATACCTCTTGGCGGACCCCATGGTTGTCATGTTTCGTACCATCCCATTCGTCAGTGCCGCCCTCGCGTGCTTTTCTCGCATTCAAAACTACTTGTTGTCAGAAAGCTGTACCGATTACAGACTGCCCTTGAGCGAGCGGGATCATCATCCAAGCCAAGACGATGAGAAAGGAGACACGCTTATGGCGATATCAGGGGCCAGTTTTGGCTGGGTTCCCGGAAAGCCGGACATCCTCAACGACATCACCGTCAACATCCGCAGGTCTTGCTTCACCTTCGTCGTCGGACCCGTGGGCTCGGGCAAGAGCACCCTCATGCGAGCCATTCTGGGAGAAGTCCCGCTCCGAGCGGGTTCCATCCATGCCGATCCCGGCAACATTGCGTTTGTTGGCCAGGATCCCTGGATTCAGAACCTGACGATACGCCAGAATATCCTAGGCAGTGCCAGCTACGACGCGGAATGGTACGGCCAAGTTGTCTACGCGTGCGGGCTCGAGCAGGATATCAGCGAGCTTCTCGACGGAGATGCAACAAGGGCGGGCAGCGCGGGTTTTTCGTTGAGCGGCGGCCAAAAGCAGCGGCTCGCCTTGGCCCGAGCTGTCTACTCCAGGGAAAAGACAGTCTTGTTGGACGATGTCTTTGCAGGGCAGGATGCGGCGACCGAGGAGCATGTCTTCCAGAATCTTTTTGCCGAGACTGGTCTCTTCCGGCAGATGAGCATAACCGTGGTCTGTGTCACGAATGCCATCCATAGACTCGCCTATGCCGATCATGTGGTCGCTCTGGATGTGAGCGGCCATATCGTGCACCAAGGCTCATTCGTACAACTTGAATCCGATACAAATTATTTGCATGGACTGGCAGTCGAGCGGAACGGCGCGATTGACGCGCGGGACGCAACTAAAGCATTGATGCAGCATCGCCACGAGACTGTTCCCAAGGGCCCAACCGAACAAGATGCTGACCAGAACAGCGACGACACTGAATCGCCCGGACGAGTCCTCGGCGAGTTTGCCACATATGCATATTACTTTGGCTCCGTCCCTGTATGGCACACCATACTGTTCGCTGCCCTCGCCATTCTGTACGCGGGAGGTTTTCGGATGACGGCACTCGTACTCAGCTTCTGGACGGACACTGCGAAAGAATCCGGCCAAGCCACCAATGACTACTACCTCGGGCTCTTCGGAATGCTCACCGGTCTCGCCGTCTTGGGCATCACAGGGGCCGCCTATTTCTTCCTGGTCGTCATGGTGGCTTTGAGCTCCGAGGTTCTCCACGCTCGGCTTCTACATTCTGTCATGAATGCCCCAGTGGCCTTCTTCTCGCGCACCGACGTCGGAGTCACCACAAATCGCTTCAGCCAGGATATGTCGGTCGTCGACACCGAACTGCCCTTTGCCCTTGTGGATTTCTGCGTCAACTTTGCCCTCATCATCATGTCGGTCATCCTGATGTGCGTCTTTTCTGGGTATTTTGCAGCCGCACTTGTGCCCTTCGTCGCTTTCTGCTGGTGTAAGTTTTCACAGCCCGCCCCCAAGCCCTTTAATGTGACACAAAAAATCATGGCACTGACCCCTAGGCTAATATTACTATGGGCCAACAGTGCTGCAAAAGTTCTACGTGCGGACGTCTCGGCAGATCCGGCTGTTTGATCTCGAAGCCAAATCTCCCCTCTTCACGCAGTTTCTCGACCTCCTCCAGGGTCTGTCCACGGTGCGGGCGTTCGCGTGGGGGCCGCGCTTCATCGACCGGTACCTGGACCTTCTCGACGCCTCGCAAAGACCCTTTTACCTGCTCTTCTGTATCCAGCGTTGGCTGGGCCTCGTGCTCGACCTGATGACCGCCGTCCTCGTGACCGTCATGATGGTCCTGGTCGTGAAGTTGCGGGCACAGCTGTCGCCGCAGTACGTGGCCCTGGCCTTCGTGCAGATCATGTCGTTCGGCCAGTCGTTGGCCCACGTCATCCAGGACTGGACGCAGCTCGAGACGTCGTTTGGCGCCGTCGCGCGCGTCAAGACGTTCTGCACCGACACCGAGTCGGAGAACCAACCCGCCGAGACGGGTACGGTGCCCAAGAACTGGCCGGCGCACGGCCGCGTCACCGTCAAGGACCTGGTGGCCTCGTACGATGCGCACGGTGGCGGCGAGCCTGTCCTGCGCGGCGTGAGCCTCGACATCCCCGCCGGTGCCAAGGTCGGCATCTGTGGCCGCAGCGGGAGCGGCAAGAGCTCGCTCCTAGGCTGCATCTTGCGCCTCCTCGAAGTCACCCCCGGCTCGCGCATCACCATCGACGGCGTCGACATCACGACGCTGCCACGGCAGGCTGTGCGCGCTGCAGTGGCAGTTGTGCCGCAGCACCCTTTCTTCCTGAAGCATATGAGCCTCCGTGACAACCTTGTCATCCTTCACCGACAGCAGCACCGGCAGGAACACGAACAGCAGGAGCAGCAGCAGCAAACCGACGACGACAAGATTCTCCAAGTCCTGCACCGGCTCAAGATGGACGATGTCGTGGATCGGCTGGGCGGCCTAGACAGCCCGCTGGACGCCGATCGGCTCTCGCAGGGCCAGCGCCAGCTCCTGTGCATCGCCCGGGCCATGCTGGCGGGCAAGCGGATCATCCTAATGGACGAGGCGAGCAGCAACGTCGACGAGCGGTCCGAGCGGCTCATCAGGGACGTCATGCGCGAGCAATTTGCCAGCTGCACCGTCATTGCCGTTGCGCATCGCCTCGGTGCCGTCGTCGACTTCGATCGTGTTGCTGTCATGGGCGGTGGTCGGCTCCTGGAATGGGATAATCCTCACGCTCTCTTACAGCGAGATAGCGAGTTTAAGAGGCTTTGGGATCTAGGGGCGAGTTAGAGGAGCGGTTAGATCTATAGGTCTTGTGTGTCTGGCCTTGTTTAAGCTCAGGGCTAAGGTCCACCTCGCATGGGCGGCAATTCCATAGCATGCTGCAACAACTCCAACATCGCGCCAGGTGTATATAGGGACCCATGTTTATGGCCGTGTATCTACACCATCATATATATCTCTACTTTCAACTATAGATTTTACACCACTAGTATATTAAAAATATATTAAATTTAATATTAATAGATAGAGAATTGGCCAACGAATTCAATGCATTTTATATTTAGTGTAGTAGACTTTTGCTTTACGCGTAGTAAGCAATCTCCTAGGTAGGGTGGATCAAGTTGTCAATTACACCTTGTTCTATCAGAACTATCATACTACCTGTTATTGTAGGAAAGGCTAGCGTAACAAATACAATGGTCTTTATAGCCGAACTATCTATATACAGTTCAGGATAAAATCCTCCAACTTCTTATGGCATCGTGACACTAACATCGCTTTCTTTAGGCAGGCGCTCCTTGCGCTTCCGTGTGAAAATCCGTTCAACAACATCGATTCCAAACCCAGTCCATAGGGTCAACGCCAAAACAAAACACAACCCACTGACCCAGCCGTGTGTTTTGGTGAATGTTGGCGCCTGTCCGCTAGGAAATTGCAGTTGTTGGAAGGGGATAACAACAGCCGACCCAAGACTGACCATGAACGCCAGAACAAATGCTCGTAATTGTTGATCTCCACCACATGAAGCGTTGACCCAACCTGCCAGAAGGGGTGTATAACATCCATAACATCCTGTGATAATGAATGCGGCCATCTTCAACCCTCTTGATTCAGGCCAGGCCGTGAAGATAGCATAGCAGAAGGTTAGGAGACATCCGACTGCGAAACAGACGGGTCCTCGTCGGCCGAGCTTATCGGAGACATATCCTGTGCCGATCATGAAAGTAAAATTGATGGCGCCCATGGATGTGGGAATGTTGTTGATTTGAGGTACTGAGTATACCTTCAGCGACTTGAGCCAAATCCCGAAATACTGCATCACATATGAGCCGCAGGTGAGAGACCAGAAGGCGTATGCGAGTGAAAAAGTATAGAATTGCCAGGATAGCAGGACCCGTTTGAAAACAGTGAAATCCAGCTTTCCGACGGGAGTTCGACCTTCTTCGTCGATTCTCTCTCGTGCCCGGTTTCTTTCCCATTCGGAGAGATAGAATGCGGTGGTGTTTTGAGGCGTATCGGGGTAAAATATAAAACCGTAAATGGTGACTGGAATAGCAAGAATGAAATCAAAAATAAAGAGCCATCTCCACGCCGATAATCCAGCTTTTCCATCCATGTCTTTGAATAGTGCTGCTTGCAAGTAACCTGAAAACATCTGTCCCAGGACTCCGGACATGACGAACAGACCGCTTCGACGCGAGAGTTCGGATTTGCGATACCAACATCCAAGAACGTACTGAATTCCGGGCCATGCAGCGGACTCAAAAAATCCAATACAAAATCGAAGACCGTAGAGCTGGGATGCGTGGTTGCACTTGTACAAGAAAAGTACGAAGAGCGACCAGATGAACAAAACGCCAGGGAGCAAGTACCTCGGTCGAACAACAGTTAAGGCAAGGTTGGAAATTGGGCCTCCGAGGATTGCGCCAATACTGAAGTATGTGTTCATCCAGCTCAGTTCATTGCCTGGTCCTAATCCAAGCTCTTCTTTCATGCCGGAGACGTAGGCATTGGACACATTGTTGCCATCCAGTTGCTTGATGAAAAAGCATAAACAACTGTAGCTGAGAAGAAAAAAGTCCAGTTTGCAGATGAGCTTTTTGTCGGCTTTTGAAGTACCTGGCTCATGCCAATGGAACCACCGTTGGGACTCCTGAGCATTCTCAGTTTGGACTGTCGACCTCTCCAAGCTGTGACATGAATCCGTCATGTTATTTTTGCGGTCTTGTACATCTGAGGCGTTATCCAACTCTCTCGGAATTGGAGTTGGCTTTTGAACGGTTGCTTCGGCTGAGATAGGCATTGTGAATTGGCTCCGAGGCAAACAAAATCTGACATGCAAGAGAGTCCATGTCGGGAAGAATCATGAGCGAGATAGCAACTATAAGATACTAACAATCTAGAACTATCAAAGCGAAAAAAAGGCCAAATAAGGTTATTACGACATTTGCGATAACAGTTGCGTAGATTCTCCCCATTAAACATCAGGTGGAGTGTGGATCTCTTTCCTCAAACCGAAATATTTCTCGGTGCGGGGCCGACATCGCGACATCGCAGCATCGCAACATGAGCTTGCTTAACGTTCCTCTCTCTTTCCTTGATTCTATTTGTAGACTTTGGAAATAGTGCACTCTATCCTTGTAGTGTGATGCCCTGGATTGGACGATCAATACCTACATTTTATCGCTTGTTTTATTATTCCTCTCGATCCCATTTGACTTCCTCTTTTTTCCAAATATCTTTCTATAGCAACACAATATGGTTGAATTTGTCTCTATCAATGGCGCTAAGTTAGCATACCGCTTAGTCGGACCTGAGAATGCACCTCTGATAATCACCCTGCACGGCGGCCGAGGGTTTGGTGAGCCTCGATAAAATCTACCTCTAAATGCCTATGGATCGCTGATAAGCTGCTTTGCAACTGTAACAGGAGACCATAAATCAGACTTCAAAGCATACTCACCCCTCTCCTCTTTGTATCGGGTACTTTCCTTCGACTTTCGAGGACATGGTCAAAGTTCACGAACAGAGCCTTTTACCTTTCATCAACTAGTTGAAGATATTGAGGGAATACGGCGGCATTTCCTTGGAGCTGATCAACCCTGTATTGTATGCGGCGGTAGTTTCGGCGGGTTCCTGGCCCAGCAGTATGCAATCACTTATCCATCTCGAGTTTCAAATTTGATTCTTCGAGGAACTGCTCCTTCGCATCACCGTAAGTGCCATCTTGGATTTGAAGTTTTGGGACTTACAGCGGGCATTTCAAAGATCAACATGGTATTTGCGCTAACTGAACCCAGATGAAGAAACGGCTATTCATACTCTAGAACAAAGAGCATCTAAAGCCCCAGGTCTTTCCATCAAATTTCTGAAGGATAAGATATTCGGTCGATTCGAAAGCGATCTCGAGTTCCAACTCGTCATGTATGCAGCTGCGCCGCTATATAGCGAGCACTTTGATCCCGATATCGCGTTGAAGCACAACATTGAGACCGTGTTTTATGCAAAGTCTCATAGTAAGCGGCTATCCTGATTATATCACGACGAACTTAAGCTGACCACCCAAAGATGATCTGTATTCCGAACAGGAGAAGTATTTCGATTATAGAGATCAACTTCATTCGATCACGGCGAAGACTTTGGTCATTGTGGGAGAGCGCGATTGGATTTGCCCGCCAGAGCAATCTAAAACTATTGCTTCGAAAATTCCAGGTGCGTACTTGAAGGTTATTGCGAATGCCAATCATGGCGTTCATCTAGAGAAAAATGCGGAAGTGATTGAGCTCATTAAGGAACATGTTTTATGAGACTTAGTAATATATTCATTCCACCCTGATTGTGTCTTTGTACGCCCACACCCTGCTTTTGTTTTATAGTAGTTGTAAGGCCCCTAGCTATACATAGGAAAGATACATCTGAAAAGACATGGGCGACTATCCTTGTAGAAACAAATCGAAATGTTCACAAAATTATGATGTCTTGTAGGCAAAGTAGATGATAATAATCTCTGTTTTCCTGCTCCGTACACCATTCCTCGGTAGCTTTTAGCTTTTTCCCATTTAGGATGATAAAGACATCGAGATAGCGCTCGGCGAACTTCCGAAAATAATTTCCACTTTGGGACTGGTGGCCGTTGAGGCGCATCACCTAACAACTCGTAAATAATGCGTGATTTGAGAGTTATTTTGAAGTATCGTACATATCTACCAATATCAATGTTTGGTGATATTGAAGATCAGTTCTTTTTGGCATTGACATTTGCTGCCGAGGTCTGTCTTCGTCAAATCACACATAACCAGCCATGTCAATCAACCCAGGCATAAACATCTCTATCGGTACGTAATTGTGATATGACATCAAATATAGGCCTAAGTTAATTCTGTTCCTAGATCGCGGGGGCACGTTTTGCGATGTCCTGGTGCAAGTCCCCGGTCGCGATGACCTTGTGTTCAAGCTGCTGTCGGAAGATCCGCAGAACTATCGTGACGCCCCAACAGAGGCGATCCGAAGAGCACTAGAGGTTATAGAAGGGCGGCAAATACCCGTTGGCGAACAGCTAGACGGGTCCCAAATAGCATCCTGTCGTATCGGGACAACCATCGCGACCAATGCATTGCTGGAAGGCAAAGGTCGAGAGTTTGCATTTGTCACTACAAAAGGCTTCAAAGATGTCTGCGTTATTGATGACCAGACACGACCTAAATTATTCGCCTTGAACGTCCGAAAGCCTCCTGCGCTGTATGCAACTTCGGCAGAAATTGACGAACGCATCACCATCGAGGACTACGATCTCAATCCATTTCCTTTGGACAAGACAGCCGAAATCACAGATCCCGCACTGGTACGAACGCCAAGCGGGGAAGTAATAAGGATCTTGAAGGCCCTTGATCCGGTCGAGGTTCGAGAAGTATTGAGCGGGCTGCAATCGGCAGGCTATACGTCGCTGGTTATTTCCTTCGTGCATTCATATCTGTATCCTTCTCACGAGGACCAGGTAGCGCAAATCGCACAAGATATGGGCTTTGAAACCGTGGTCAAAGCTTCCGACGTCAGCCCTGTTATCAAATTTTTGCAACGCAGCACCTCGGCTTGTTCAGAAGCATATCTGTACCCTATCGTCAAAGATTATGTCACGGCATTCCAGGCCGGCTTTAGTGTACTCCCTCAACGTGTGGAGTTCATGGGATCCGACGGAGGCTTGAGGCAAGCTGACAAGTTCCGCGGAAATGAAGCTCTTCTCAGTGGGCCAGCCGGCGGTGTTGTTGGGATTGCTCGAACTTGTTTCGATGCGGCCGAAGGGACCCCTGTTCTCGGATTCGACATGGGAGGAACCAGCACAGATGTTTGTCGCTATGACGGCAAATACGATTATTTGACCGAGACGACGGTGGCGGGTCGAAAGATTACAGCGCCGATGTTGAATATCGCGACTGTCGCGGCCGGCGGAGGTTCGATGTTGTTTGCTCGTCATGGACTGTTTGTTGTTGGACCTGAGAGCGCGGGAGCTCACCCGGGTCCTGCATGCTACCGAAAGGGAGGACCTCTCACCGTGACAGACGCAAATTTGTTTCTGGGAAGACTGGTCCGCTCTTCTTTTCCAGCTATCTTCGGTCCGAATGCAGACCAACACCTGGATCTCGATATCACCAAGCAAAAATTCCATGATATCACTCGCGAGATCAATGAACAAACTGGGCAAACTCTTACCGCAGAACAGGTCGCTTTCGGGTTTCTTGATGTCGCAAACGAGACCATGACCCGACCAATGCGCAATGCAACAGAAGTACGGGGGTTCGCACCGAGCAGCCATACTTTGGTCAGTTTTGGGGGCGCTGGTGGTCAACATGCTTGTTCCATTGCCAACAAACTCGGCATCACACGGATTCTCATCCACAAACACTCTTCACTGCTATCAGCTGTCGGCATTTCTCAGGCGGACCTGCAGGTTGAGAACACAGTTCCCTTCGTTGGTTTCTTTGATTTCGAAGTGATAGATGACATTCGAGTCCAGATTGACAAACTCAAGTCCCAAGTTGAATCCGCGCTCTTATCGCAGGGTGCGGATCCGTCTACTGTTGTTTTCGAGGAATCTCTCAGTTTGAGATACGCAGGCACAGATACGAACATTGCCATCCCGAAACCAGAAGGTGAGGATTATGGAGCGTCCTTTATAGCCACGCATCTACGAGAGTTTGCTTTTGTCCTCGAAAGGAAAATACACATCGACTCGATCAAGGTCCGTGGTGTTGGGCGAAGTGGTGTTCCTACGGAGACAGCATCCCCATATGCCACGCTAGAAGAAATCAAATCTCGCAAAGACTACCTGCAGTCTGATCAGACGCAGCCTGTATTTTTCGAGACAAAGTGGCACGACGTTCCAATCATTGAGCTTGGCTCATTCAAACGCACCGGTCAGGTGCAAGGTCCTGCCCTGCTGATCGATGCAACCCAGACGATCTTCGTGGAGCCTAGTTTCGATGCCTACCTCCTCCCGAATCATTTAGTACTCGAAAAGTCGCAGACTGGCATTTCAAATACCGAAATGTCTCATTCTTCTGGAACTGTCGACCCGATCCAGCTTTCTATTCTTTCTCATCGGTTCATGGCAATTGCCGAGCAGATGGGCCACACACTGCAGCGCACGTCTATTTCGACCAGCATCAAAGAGCGTCTGGACTTTTCTTGTGCTATATTTTCACGAGAGGGAAAGCTAGTGGCCAACGCCCCACATATCCCCATCCATCTTGGAAGCATGCAATATGCAATCCAATATCAGCACCGACTATGGGAAGGAAAATTAAAGCCCGGCGACGTTCTTCTCAGCAATCACCCTGAATGTGGTGGAACACATCTTCCGGATCTGACTATCATCACCCCGGTCTTCGTCGATGACGAGTCCACTGTTGCTTTCTACGTCGCGGCTCGGGGTCACCACACCGACATCGGCGGCCAAGGAATCACATCTATGATGCCAGACTCCAAGGAGCTATGGCAAGAAGGTTTCAACGTTCGCTCGATGAAAATAGTCGACAATGGCGTCTTCCTGGAAAGCGATGTGCGAAACGCTTTCTTGGCTGCGGGTGATCTCCCAGGCTGCAGTCCGACTCGCCGATTGGATGATAACATATCCGACATCAAGGCTCAAATCTCGGCCAACCAGCGTGGTATCATTCTTCTGCAGAAGATGTGTGCCGAATTCAGTTTCGCTTTTGTGCACCGTTACATGAATGCCATCCAGATGAATTCAGAAACGGCAGTCAGAGAATACCTCAAGAATGTTTCCCGAACCAGGACCATGCCCTTGACAGCCAGCGACCATTTCGATGACGGCACTGTTCTCAAAGTTTCAATCTCAATCGACGAAGCGGGAGGAGCAGTATTTGACTTCGCAGGAACTGGTCCTCAAATGTGGGGAAATTATAATTGCCCAATATCCATCACCCATTCAGCCGTCATCTACAGTATCAGGTGTCTGCTCGATGCAGATATCCCTCTAAATGATGGCTGTCTATCGCCAATAGACATCCGCATCCCCAAAGGATCAATTCTACGACCCAGTGCTTCCGTGGCCATATGTGGTAGTACCTTGGCAAGCCAGCGCGTTATCGATACAATTTTGCGAGCATTCGAGTGCTGCGCAGCGTTCTCTGGTTGTGCAAACAGCTTCGGTTGGGGTATGGGAGGCAGAGATCCCACCACTGGGATCATTGAACCCGGATGGAATTATGGCGAAACCGTAGGGGGCGGTTGTGGTGCCGGTCCCAGCTGGCATGGAGAACATGCCGTACAGCCCCATTCGACGAATACAAAGATTACAGATGCAGAGGTCGTTGAAAAGAGAACTCCTGTCATCATTCGCAGACACGCAATCAATCCCAATACCGGTGGAGGTGGCCGGTATAAAGGGGGTAACGGTGCGGTCCGTGAGATTGAGGCTAGAATTCCGCTCAAATTCAGCATTCTCAGTGACCGACGAGTCTTTGCTCCCTATGGAATGAGCCGTGGTCAACCTGGTTCTGTGGGAAAGAACTATGCGTTCAAGTGGAATGATGATAAGACTGCCTTGGAGAGACTTTCCCTGGGTGGTAAAGCCGCTCTCGCCCTTCAGGCTGGGGAAATGATGCAAATAAACAGTCCTGGTGGAGGAGGATGGGGCGCTTCTGGGTGTTAAAAATGGGATATAAAAGAACTTCTGGTATATATGAAACAAGAATAGTCGTTTATGCGGCCTTGTCATGTCTTTTTGGGTGTCCTTTTAGTTGTATATGAGGGAGGTAAAATGCATAGACTGTGCAGAGGACCTTTCTGCATATAATCTTTGATTAGGGATACTAGGGATAGACCAAGGATTGATGAAATGGAGTATTGGTTCTTAACACAAAATTTACCTGGTATTTTTATAGATTACTCGCCAATAATCTTCTCCAAGTAATTTAGCCAATTCTCTCCCAACACTTTCTCCATCTTTGATTTTGACCAGTCTGCCCGAGCCATAGCCTTGGCCAGTTCCGGGCGTTCCTTCAATGGACCCAGAGGCTTCACGACAGTCTGACTGCCCCAGGGCGTGAGCTGACGCGCATAACCCTTATCAAGGTTACACCAGGCCATAAAATCACTTGGTCGAGCATGGCCTTCACTAGCATCTGAACCCACACCGACCAGGTCCTCGCCAACTAAATCGATAACAAAGTCCATCGCAGCAACGTAATCGTCAATAGTCGACTCATTGCCCTTGGCCATATGCGGTCCAAATTGGCTGATTCCAACAAAACCACCCTTCTTACCGATGAGCTGTAGAAGATGGTTCGATTTGTTTCGTGGATGATCGCGCAGACCACCCGGCAACACATGGCTGAAGCAAGGAGGTTTAGTCGCATATTCGATAACATCTTCACTAGTCACCGGTCCGACATGCGATAAATCAACGACAATACCCAATCGACCCATCTCATCAACAACTTGTCGACCGAAACCAGTGAGACCCGAGTCGCGGATCTCGGTATACCCAGCCCCGGAGTAATTTTGAGTGTTGTAGGTGAGTTGCATCTTGCGCACGCCCAGGTCGCGGAAAACGCGTAGATAATCGATTTGGTCTTCGATGCCGGCTGTGTTTTGCCAGGAGAGTAGAACTGCCGTTCTTCCATCGCGCTTTGCTTGGCGAATATCACGGACAGAATGCGCCTGTACGATGAGGTCGGAGTGCTCTTCGAACCATTTTTTCCATTGGACCACATTGGTAATGGCACCGCGAAACCCTTCCCAGATACCGCATGTACATGACACACCGGTGATGCCGCCTTGTTGCCAGGCTTCGAAGATCTCGCGGGACCAGTTGGCGATGTTCAACCCGTCAAAGTGGATCGCGGTGCGGTAGATTTCCAGCGCTTCAGTTTCGGATACCATGATGAGATTGCTTCTGAATGAGAGACATGATTTGAGAAGCCATTTCGAAGAATCGACGCATCCTTTTGAATATACAACGCGGTGCAGCACCGATGGATATTTCCAGTTCGGGGAAGAAATGACGTGCTCCGTTGGTTGGTTATCGCGCTATCTCTCCGGCGACTCTTTCCATCCGACAATCATGGAGGGCGCCGTGCATCGATTCCGCGTCCATCGAAATAAATCAAAACCGGAGAGAATAACCCGACAGGTCAAACCCACCACTGCTAATGGTCGACGCTCTTCTGTGCCGGCGTGTCGCCGTTGTCGCCAACACAAGAAGCGGTGCTCCCGAACACCTGACGGATCCTGCGAGCAATGCCAGGCTGCTTGGGTGCCGTGCTCTTTGATGGAGGAATCTGTCAGTCCACAGACGCGCGAGCGCGAATTGCGATCACGTATTGACTGGCTGAGCCGCCTTGTGAATGATGCACTTCCCGTCGGTAGATCGCCGATCGAATCTATCGAGACTGGGCGGGATATGGCATTGGACAGTCCAATACAGTCTCCATCAGATGAAGCGACCATAGAGATTGTTTGCAGCGAGAGTGGCTTTGAAGTGAGCCGTAGCCCCAAACCTGAAGAGAACGTCTGCCTTTCTGTTGCAGCGAGTCGCAAGTGCTTACATGCCTATTTTCGACACGTTCATCGAAGCTACCCATTTATGGATAGCGAGTTTGTTCTTCAAGATTTTGATACCCTTTGCAATAAAGAGGCAGATAATGACCTTCTCCCTCATTCGGCTGTACCAAACCGTCTCTATATGATAATGGCTATCGGTTTCACAACCCTGCAGCGGGCCGGGGAAGCGCAAAACATTCAGGAGCGAGATTTACAACCGTGTCTCAAGGGCGTACTCTGTGAGTGTGTCTCTCGAGTGGACGAGCAATCAGCAGGCACCTTGCTCCTCCTTGGCTTGTATCTTTTGTTCAAGCCCGGTGACCAGGATCCGCGAGCCATCGCTGGTGTTCTCACCAACCATGCTTTGGCAGTCGGACTGATGAATGAGTCTTCCATTTGCCAGACACTTTCACCTCGGGCATTGGAGCTCCGTCGTCGGCTTGGTTGGTCAGTATATGTGTTCACTCGCATGATCAGCATATCCTATGGACTGCCATTTGCCTTTCCTGACAATATAATGAAAGTACCACTACCGAGCATCATGATTCATGAATACGGCTCTGAGGAAGGACATCAATACGCAATAGCCTTGCAGGTCAGCCGGCATGTGATTTCTCTGCGACAACTTGAGACACGCATCATCAACGCCATTTATGATCCCAATCCCTCTACAAGTCCCCAAGAGCTCCGAATCCAAATCGAAGACTGGTACACACAGGGTTGTCTATTATCCAGCTCCACCTTGTGCGAACCAGACCAGCTTCCCTTCCATACGACCATCACATGGCTTAATGTCCGCTACCAGAACCTGCTTCTCTTATTGTACACCCCCGCACAAGGAGATTCTGCAACCGAAGAAAATCTGCCAAATCTCCAGGGTGCTGCGCAGCAGTACATCCGGTTGAGCCTTATACTGCATGACCACCGGCATCTGCCCATGAACTGGATTACACTCTGTCGCCTCCTTTCATTGGCTGCAATATTTCTCTACTGTACTCGTCAATGGGCCCCAGCCTTTGACGATATCCCCGAGATTCATCTTCTCGCAACCTTGCTTGAATTCTTTCCATCCTCCTGGGTCGCTGCACATGACGCGTCTCGAATTCTGCGGCGCCTTGCAGATATCAGCAGAAAGCAAAACAGCCCCTTGATAGCACGAAGCCAATTGTCCGGGTCTTCTGTGATAGACACTTCAGGTTTAGATACTGAAATGAGGCTACAATCTGTCCAAAATGAACTGGAAGCATTGCTGAGCCAAACGATGGGTGAGGCAAGCTTTTATATCTGGCCCTTGAGGTCAAAGGTTGCGGAGCGAAGGGTTTCGCATCAATATTTTACCACGGATGGTTTGAGTGCTGGGCTACAGAGTGGAATCCTGGGTAATCGGGCCAGGGTTGCGCAGGACGGGACTTTGACCCCAGCAGAGAACGATATGGGTGAAAGCCTATTAGACACGCAGTGGATGAATCTTTGGGTGATGTAGGATCTGATATGCTCTGAATGAGAGTCGTCTTTTTTCTTTCCTATCTTTCACTGGAATTTATTGGAATCTCGATCTCCTATGTGGGATACCCATGTGTCCGTCTATAGACGCGGATTCCCAACCTCAGGATCTTGAGCAGTCTCCTTCTCAAAGTCGAACCCAAGCTGTTCCAAACTCTTAACCTGAGATCTCCGATCACCAAGTGCCTGCGCCGCCTTCTTAATCAACGGGAATCTCGCACGCGTCCACTTCTCCTTCTCGCCCCAGAAAGGCGGTCTCCTACCCTGCCCATCATTTTCCAACTCATCCTTTCGCGTCGCATGTGAACTCAACTCGTACAGGGAGTTGATGTAAGTTGCGTCAAGCGGGAAAGCAAGGATATTGAAGCTATGTCCTTCGCCGCGCTCGACCGTCCATTCCCCAATCCACCGCTCCATTTCGGCCTCAGAAGGCAGCGCTAGTCGTCCCGACAGCACGCGCGCAACCCAGGCTCCTTGCGCCTGACTAAAGGGGAATGGGACAATCCGTTGCGGGAAGCCGATCAACGCGAGGGTGGGCTCTTTGCTGTAGAAGACGTGCTGGTACAAATGGTGAGGGCGAACGCCATTCGTGACAAGAGGCGGCTGGAGAGATGATAAGAATGGAATGGAGAAGTGGTAGCCTGTGCAGAAGATAATGTGATCGACATCTCGCTCTTCGCGACCATCGACAAACTGCACACGACCGCCTTCGGCACGGAGTTGGCTGATTTCCGGAAGGGTTTGGGCAATGGCGGCTTTTTCTGGGGAGAGTGTTGTTGCTGTGCGCTCGGAAATCAGCAGCGGGTGTTTTGACACACGCCCAATTTGAGTGGCGATGTCGATTCCCGAGGCGGAGTGACCGACGACAATAACTTTCTATTGTTGTCTGAGTACATGGGGTTCTTGGGGGGCGGAGGGTTACATACCTTGTTTGCAAACGATTCAGCACGCCTATAAGAGGAAGAATGAATGATGGAGCCTGGGTAGGTTCGATTCCACTCAGCCAGGCCAGCAATCTCAGGGATATATGGGTCATTGTGGTGTCCATTCGCGACTACAACTGCATCGAACTGCTCCACCAAGATGCCGCCAGTCTTCAAATTACGCCACGTCACAGTCCATTCTGGATTTGGGTGCTTGTTGGATAGTACCACATCCAAAACCAAGGATTGCAGACGTATGAGCGGCTTCAACTCCTCTGCATACTGATGGAGATAGTCTTTCACGACCACATGGGTTGGAAATAGCGCGGTTCCCGCAGGGAACGGACACTCGGTGAACTGCATCATCGAATTTGGAATATTTGTCTCGAGAGAGTCATATACAGGGGAAATAAAAGTCCCGTTCACGGGCTGTTGAGGCTCCTGGCTTGGCTTGGAACGAGTAAGCACCGATGCATTGCTGATGCCTTGATCGCCGGTGTAATTCCATACACCTCCAGGTTTGTCGCGCTGTTCAAAAATGGTGATTGTCTTGAATTTTTGTTCCGCCAGAAGATATCTGCGTATAACTCATTAGTTATTCACGTTCTGCCCTAAAAGCATAGAAAAACGTACTTTGCGGCTCCCAGGCCACAAGGACCTGCGCCGATAACAGCCACCCGTT